GAACTCTTCACCTCAAGGTAAGAGCTCTATCACTTGAGCCACAGCACCACTTGCGGTTTTCTGGTGGTTAATTGGAGATACGAGTCTCATGGACTTTCCTTCCCTGGGCTGGCTTTGAACCTTGATCTTCAAATTTCAGCCTCCTGAGTAGCTAGGATTACAGGTGTAAGCCACTGGCACCCGGCTTTTTTTTTTTTTTGTATAGTTATTTCCATGTTTCTACAAGCATATATATATGGGTCAAATAGAGATTTAAAAAATTACATATGGCAATTTAATATATTCTACAAGTGGCATTCTACTAAAAGGATCAGTGAATGATTTTGTAACAAAATACAGTTAAGTTCTTGCTTCTCAAAACATTCTAGAGGAATGAAGAGCTAAGTGAATTTTTTACACTGTCACATAAGTAAAAAGGAAAATATTAAAACCCTAAGATTTAAAATTAAAGAGACATTTAATTCTGTCAAACCTTAAAGGTGTTTTTTTTTGTATTTTTTTTCCTTGTCCTGGGGCTTTATCTCAGAGCTTGGGCACTATCCTTAAGGTGTTTTTGCTCAAGGCTAGAACTCTTATTACTTGAGCCACAGTTCTATTTCTGGCTTTTTGGTAGTTTATTGGTGATAAGAGTCTTACCAATATCAGGAGTACATGCTTGTATTCCTAGCTACTCAGGAGGCTGAGATTTAAGGATCATGGTTCAAAGCCAGCCTGGGCAGAAAAATCCATGAGATTTCTATCACCAATTAACCAGTCAAAAACCGGAAGTGGTGCTGTGGCTCAAGTTGTAGAGTGCTTGCCTTAAGCAGAAGAACTCAGAAACAGGCCAAAGCCCAGAGTTCAAGCCCCATGACTGACAAAAAATATATATATATATCTAGAGGGGGCTTGGGATGTGCGTTAGTGATAGTGCTTATCTAGCATGCATGAAGCCCTGGGCTCGATTCCTCAGTGCCACATAAATAGAAAATTGGGAAATAGAGCTGTGGCTCGAGTAGTAGAGTGCTAGCTTTGAACAAAAGAAGTCAGGGACAGTGCCCGGGCCCTGAGTTCAATCCCCAGGACTGGCAAAATAAATAAATAAATAAAATAAAAATAATATATATATAGAGAGAGAATTGAAGAAAATATTTGCAACATATGACCAAACAACTTTTTAAATACGATGAAATACTATGTAACTATTGAGGGAACCCCCCCCCCAGTGACTGAGTAGAAAATGGACAGATAACTTGAATATGATAAGCATTTGACAGCTCCCCATACTTTATTACTGAATACAAAAATGTTCACATCAGTCTTCTGTGACGTGGATCACATGAGTGTGAGGATTTACTGTATAAAGCATTCAAAATAGGAGGCATACACTATGAAGAATAATATGAATACTTTGTTTACTTTTCAAGATTGAAAAAACATGAATCATGGAAGAAAAACAGGTACACTTTTCCCAGAAATTTTTCTATATTTTCAGGGAACCAGAATGAATTATAAATAAGAAAATCTGGCTGGTTATGTAGCACTTGTTATAAAAGCATTCAGCAATGAGTTTGCTGTTAGATATATTAAAGAAGATAAGAGCAATTTAGATAGTGGTGTAGGTTTATCTGCAACAGTTTTTACTGTCTGGAAGCCAGTGAGGTGTAGCAGAAAGAAAGTCCAGAGCCCACAGCTGGTGGGTCATTTGAGTTCTGGTCCTGTTAATCTTTTCTTGGCCTTGTGACCCTGAGCATGTTGCCTCTGTTTTTGGTAGGTTTTGCCTTCTTGTTATCTATAATGTCTAAACTTGGTCTAAACGCAAAGAAAATCAGAAATTATACTATGAAAGCAGCATATTTGATTTAAGCTATATTACTGGGTCAGCTGAGAATACATGACTTCTAAAGGTAGAATTTTGTATCCAGAATGTACTAGCCCTGCTCAAGTAGACCTGACCTGTGAACTCCAGGGCAGTGTTACTGCTGCAGTTAGGTGTATGTTTTTGTTTGGTGGTTTCTATTAAAAAAAAAAAAACAAAAACAGCTAGTCTAGTTAAACAACGGTGACCTCTGGGGATGAAGGTCGATTAAAATCTTTATTCTGTTTTTTCCCTCTTGAAAACTGACAATAAGTTAATACTTTGCATGTGTAATTCCAAAAGGCACAAATGCTCCAAAAAAGCAAATACGTCAAAGATGTTAATTGAATAATTCCTAATGGATCCTGGGAATATGAGCAATTGTGCTTTCTTTACACTTACCATGTTTTATGTGTGTGTGTGTGTGTTTAGTTAAATAATTGAGTAAGTGACCTGTTTTATGGTTCAGTGACAAATAGTGCCCTGTAATCTGGTTAAAAATTAAATTTGGGCAATAACTAATGTAAAAAGAACTGTGGATAAGGTTTAAGTGGTAGAATACCTGGCCAACAGTGTGTCTTTCTGAGTTCAAACCTCCAGTATTAGGAAGGAAAACACATAAATTTGGGGAGCAAGCAAGTGTACAAGGAAAAATAGAACTGAATTTTGTTGCTCTGAGTAACAAAAAATAAGCACTAAGAAAATGCTTTATTCTGGAAGGAGAAAGGTCTTTTGTATTTTCTGTCCGACTTTATTTGCCAACATATCTATGGAAACTACTGTTTACAGCATTGTCTAGGCTTTCTACTGCAGTACTGGGGGAGCTGTTTATTTCTTGGTCATATGACCTATTCCTGCTCTCTCACTGGTTGGTTCTAAGTTTGAAAAACCCCAGAGCTCTTGGTAACCCTGGCAGCCTGTCAGCATACAGTCTAGATGGATTAGGAAGCAGGCCAAGGACCAACTCGTTGAAATCTTTCTAGTGCAGTGACTAATTATAAGATTATAAGATGAAAAAGTAGCATTACTTTCCAGGGGAAGTTTTCCTATTTTTCTTAATTGTCTTACTGTTTCTGTCAAGTACTTCTTATACCTTAATGATCCTTTCCTTCCTTCTAGTTATAAATTTTTATTGTGAAAATGTTCAGATCAAACAGAAAAGGTCAAATAATAGTCCAATAAGTATCCATTAAGCCTACTACATGGATTCAGTCTTTTTGTTGTTGTTGTTGGTTGTGGGGCTTGAACTCTGAGCTGCTTTGTACTCAAGGTTAGTGCTCTACAACTTGAGCCACAGTGCCACTAACGGGTTTTTTAGTGGTTAATTGGAGATAAGAGTATCACGGGGACATTTCTGCCAGGGCTGGCTTTGAACTGTGATACTCAGATCTCAGCCTCCTGAGAAGCTAGGATTACCAGGCTTTAGTTACCAGTAACAGCTGTATTCAGTCATTTTTAACCTGTTAACATATGCTTCATCTTTTTTGCTGTTACTCTCTTCTCTCTCTCTCTTGCTTGACTTTTTTCTTTCCCTTTCTTTTTTTTCTTTCTTTCTCCCTTTCTCTTTCTCTCTCTTTCTTTCTCTTTCTCTCTGTCTCTGTCTTTCTTACTTTCTTTGGTGTGTGTGTGTGTGTGTGTGTGTGTGTGTGTGTGTGTGTGTGTGTGTGTGTGTGTGTGTGTGTGTGTGTGTGTGTCCTGGGGCTTGAACGTGTGTGTGTGTGTGTGTGTGTGTGTGTGTGTGTGTGTGTGTGTCCTGGGGCTTGAACTTAGGGCCTACATGCTATCCCTGAGCTTTTCTGCTCAAGGCTAGTGTTCTTCCACTTGATCCACAGCTTCACTTCCAGCTTTTTGGTGGTTAATTGGAGATAAGAGTCTCATGGACTTTCCTGCCTGGGCTGGCTTGGAACCACTGAGTAGCTAGGATTATAGAGATGAACCACCAGTGCTTGGACTATTTCTCTTTTATATCAAATCTTTCTGTAAATTATAGACATCATGACTATTTCTAAGTACTTAGGTGATTGCTAAGAAAAGAGGGCATTCTACTTCCATGAGCAGGATAACATCAAAAACTAATATCAACAAATATGTATTTAGATTTGTCCTGCATGTCTCACAGATGTTTCCCTGTTTTACATTTTTTTTTTGCTGGTGGTGGGGATTGAACTCTAGGCCTGGGCGCTGTCCCTCAGCCCTTCAGCTCAAGGCTTGCACTCTACCACTTTAGCTACAGGGTCACTTCCAGCTTTTTCTGCTTATGTGGTGCTGAGGAATCAAACACAGGGCCTCATGTATGCAAGGCAAGCACTCTACCCCTAAGCCACCTTCCCAGCCCCAAAAATCCACTTTCTTTCTTTTCTTCTTTCTTTTTTTTTGGTCAGTCATGGAGCCTGAACTCTGGGCCTGGGTGCTGTCCCTGAACTCTTCAGCTCAAAGCGAGCACTCTACTACTTGAGCCACAGAGCCACTTCCAAGACAGATCAATCTTGAGCAGAGAATTGGGCATCCATTTTTAGAGCTGCTGAGGAGAGAGGATATGAATATGAAAAGAATTAGGGTCTTTAGAAATGATACTAAAGTCTGGGAATATCACACCTTACACTTTGTTTTGCGGTGAGCGTAGGAATATCCTTGAAGCAAATAGAATCTGAAATAATACAAGTATACAGAAATGGAAACAAATATTCTCTGCTGACATTCTTGGTAGAGGTAACCACAGGGATGAATTTAGCTTTGTTTAGGCCCTTATACCAACATTTAGGTTTTATTGCCTTTGGTTTTGAGACAGACTGATGAGAACTCATTAGGGAAAATCAGTGTGGAAAGTTTCTTTTAAAAATCATCAGAAGTCGTCTTTGGAAGTTCTTAAAGTCAGCTGCTAAGTCTCAGTCCTGTTCTGAGATTGAATGTGAAAGGGCCTTAGGCTTCCCTCCTCTTTTGAGTCAGAGTGACTGGCCATCCAGTTCATATCAGTAGTTCAGGCCTAGTTCTCAGACCACTTGTATATAATCTCTTCCAGAAATTGAAGGAAACTCTTCCTACTCTTCAAGTATGTATTTTTATCCCTAGCAAAGTTTTCCCTCTTTTCATGCCTTTAAGGACTTGCTGCTTTTCTCACAGATTGTGCTGGCACTCAGGGAACTGTTTTCTGTTCTTGTTGCAGTGGCAGTCGACTCCGCCAGGTTCAGAGCATCCTGACCCAGAGCAGCAAGTCTCAGCCTGATGGAATCCTCTGCATCCTAGGTCAGTACTTGAGCACTTTGACAAGATGGTACTTACGGCTATGGTACTTGGCTTCTTGTTTACAGAAATAATAGTATCATTTGATAACTGGTATATTTATCTAGCAAAATGGAACCCTTATCTTGTGTGAATATGCAGGGGATGAAGGAAGGATGATACGATACTCTTACCAGGACCAGGATCCTAGTTGGAGATTAACCAATCTCTGTAAGGAATATGGGCACATTTCATCCTAATGAGTCTTGACAAATCTAGGCATGAGAGAATGCCCATTTGCTACATAAGCTCCATCTGTTAGTTACCAGAGTTCTGCTAACAAAGTACCATCCTAGATCTATCCAAAGACTCATTTGTTTTTTTTTCTTAAAAAAAAAACAAAAAACAAAAAAACCTGTCCTTGGGCTTGGACTCAGGGCCTGGGCACTGGCCCTGAGCTTTTTTGCACAAGGCTAGTGCTCTTCCACTTGAGCCAAAGATCCACTTCTAGCGTGTGTGTGTGTGTGTGTGTGTGTGTGTGTGTGTGTGTGTGTGTGTGTGTGTGTGTGTGTGTATGTGTGTGTGTGTGTGTGTGTGTGTGTGTGTGTGTGTGTGTGTCACAGACTTTCCTGCCTGGACTGGCTTTGAACTGCATTCCTCAGATGTCAGCCTCCTGAGTAGCTAGGATTACAGGTATGAGCCAGTGGCACCTGGCTTCATCTGCCTTTTTGTTTGTTTCTGTCTTATTTTTGAATTATAGAGGTTTAAAAAACATTTTATTATCATAAAGGTGATGTACAGAGGGGTTACAGTTACATCACTTGCCTTTTTTTGGCTAGTTTGAGGCTTGAAATCTGGGCCTGGGCACTGTCCTGAGCTCCTTTTTCTCAAGGCTAGCACTCTACCTTGTGAGCCATAGTGCCACTTCCAGCTTTTTCTGTGATTTAATTGGAAATAAGAGTCTCACAGGGGGGCTGGGAAGGTGGCTCAGTAGTAGAGCACTTGCCTTGTATGCATGAGGCCCTGGGTTTGATTCCTGAGTACCATATAAGCAAAAAGAAAAAAAAATAGCCGGAAGTGGTGCTGTGGCTCAAGTGGTAGAGCGCTAGCCTTGAGCTGAAGAGCTGAGGGACAGCGCCCAGGCCCAGAGTTCAAGCCCCACTACTGGACTCCCCCCCCCCCCCCCAAAAAAAGGAGTCTCATGGATTTTTCTGTCCAGGCTGGCATGGAAATGCAGTCCTCAGATCTCAGCTTCCTGAGAGGCTACGATTACAGATAGAAGTGAGCCACCAGTACCTGGCTCACCACCTTTCTTGATCTCCCCAATATAGGCAGGAGGGAATGCTAAACTACCTGCTGTAACACTAGTACAGCTTGCCCTTAAATTGTCTCACAGAGCATATTTTTGCTTTAAAAAAATTCCTATCACTTTCATGAAAAAATAATAGTATCATTGCAAAATAAACAGTGGATTAATGTTCATCTAGCTTTCATTCCCCTGAAATTGGTTGCTATTTTAATAAATGTGGTTAAGAGAGATCAGTGGGACATGGGATTCTTACTATTCTTGGAGCTCCTTTTGCCCCACCTCCTTCCTCTTAGCTTCATATAGGCAGCTTCCTCCTACTCTTGATACTTCTGTCTTACCCAGACCCCTCATATTAGAGCTCCACAGAAACCTAGAAACAGGTAGTATGTATTCTTGATGCATTGAAATGCAATTAGTGAATAATGTATAATTTTCTCTTTGTCTCTGACTCATACATACTAGATGGAAAGCTTTGAAAAGGCCATTTATAGGCACATATATCACCATACCCCTGCATCCAGTTTAGTGTGAGGCCTTCCTCCTGATATGTGTTGAGTTATGAGTGTTTCCAATCCCACTCAGTTGTTTTCTTTTTTGTGTGTTTTTATTGTTGTTTTGCTTTTTTGAGACAAGGTCTCACTCTGTAGCCCAAGCTTGCCTCAAACTAGTAATCCTCTGTTTCTGCCTCTCAAGTTCTGCAATATATGTGTACACCACCACACCAATCTGTGACTTAGTTTTATGTTGCCACTGTAACAATGATCAAAATTTAGTAACTATTTATTTATTTAGTCTGAGTAACTGAAAGTATTGCAAGATTTTTACCAAACCAGGTAAGACCATAATTTTTGTTCCTTTTGCTCTCAAGAATTATAGAAACGAGGGGGCTGGGAGGGTGGCTCAGTGGTAGAGTGCTTGCCTTGCATGCCTGAGGCCCTGGGTTCAATTCCTCAGCACCACATAAGCAAAAAGAAAAAAGCCGGAAGTGGCGCTGTGGCTCAAGTGGTAGAGTGCTAACCTTGAGCTGAAGAGCTGAGGGACAGCGCCCAGGCCCAGAGTTCAGGCCCCACGACCGGACCAAAATAAAAAAAAAAAAGAATTATAGAAGGGAGTAACTTCAATAATAATTGCTATTTGATCAGCCCACCTGAATAGGTTTTGAGATCAAAGTAAAAATACCTGATATTGAGACCTGTTTCTTTCAAAGAGAGTTGCTTAGTTTAGTTTCTAGCATAAAACTAGTCTCTGCCACTGCCTTTGAGTATCATAATTTTGCTGAATAAGGACAAATTATTAGAGCTCATTGTACCCCATAGTATAGGACAGCTAATCAGAGCCTTTTTTTGCTTTGCAGGAATTGATAGCAGGTACAATGAAGGCTGCCGAGAGCTGGCAAATTATCTTCTGTTTGGTTTATATAATCAGAATACCAGTGACTTTGAGAAAACGGGATTTTCTGAAGAAGTTTTAGATGGTAAGTCTGGTAAACTGAAAAAAGTGTGTAGTCTTTTTCGTGTGTGTGTGTGTGTGTGTGTGTGTGTGTGTGTGTGTGTGTGTGTGTGTGTGTGTGTGTTGATCAAGATCCTTGAACTCAGAGGCTGAGCACTGCCCCTGAACTTTTGAGCTCAAGGCTAGTGCTTTCCAGTAAGCTACAGTTCTACTTCTGAATTTTTGGGGTGTTTAATTGGAGATAAGAGCCTCACAGACTTTCCTGCCAAGGATAGCTTACAATTGCAATCCTCAGATCTCAGCCTCCTGAGTAGCTAGGATTACAGGTGTAAACCACCAACCACCAGCATGCAGCATGATTTATTTCTTTAGATCCTTATTTCATGTTTTCCTTCAGTTCCCTGTACTAGAATTTGAACTAGCACTTTACACTTGCTAGGTACCTTACCAATTAGAATACACTTCATGATCTATTAGCATTATTTCATGGTCTTTTAATGGAAAAATATGATCAGATTTAAAATATTCCAAAAACCCCAATAAATTCTTGTTTATTGCTTTTTGAGTGTGTGTGTGGGGGTATGTCTCACTATTATTGTTGAAGGCTGACATTGAATTTATAATCTTCTAGTCTCATTTCTCCTGAGTAGCTACGATTATAGGCATGAGCCACCGGTGCCTGGCTACAAAATTTTTTTAATAGTGAAAAAAAAGCATTTCTTCTTTTCTGATGGTCCAAATGCTAGGTAAGAAGTTACTAAGAAGTAATTTTCAAAATACATTTCCTGAGGCCAGGTACTCGTGGCTCACATCTGTAATCCTAGCTACTTATGAGACTGAGATCTAAGGATTAGAGGAGGGACGTAAAATCACACACACACACACACACACACACACACACACACACACACACACACACACACACACACACTTTAAACTGAGTAAATTAGTAAATTGGCTTTGAGGAAGAAAACCTTGGCTAGGGACTATTTTTTCCTTTTAATTGCTCACTGGTTTTTTATACAGGTTCAGATTATGTACTGGTGTCCAGTGAAAGCAATGTCAGTTGTGAGGCAAGGATGAGCCTGCAGGCTGTCTTGTAAGGAAGACTTCACATGGATCTTCAGTTGAGAAACAAAGGCCCTTTGTCTTGCTGACTTTAGGAATTGTTTTTGTGTGACTTTAATTCATGATGATGTTTATGGCAACAATGCAGGCTTTCTGTTGCATTCTTCTTTCCTTGGCTCTGAGACACCCTGCCTGTGTTGCTGCTGCTGTGGGCTGTTGCCCAGGAGCTATCTCTGATATCACATACTTAACATCATGACTTGTCTGCCAGATGGGTTAGAAAACACAGGAACAGACAAATAAAACTGGACAAGACACAGACAGCCTCTTGTGAGGCAGCTGGGGGAGGCAAAACCAAATATCTGATGTGAAATGAGCTTTCTGGAGTGTAATAGTTCTCAGCTGGGGATAGATTTGTCCCCCAGGAGACATTTGGCAATGTCTAAAGACATTTTTTTTTTATGTCCATAGCTGGACACAGATGCTAGTGGCATCTAATGGGTAGAGACTAGGGGTGTTGCTAAACATCCCGTAATGTACACTCCCAAAATTATCTGTGTTTTTTTTTTTAAGACATGTTCTCATTGTATAGCCCCAGGCTGGCCTTGAACTCTCAATCTTCCTGCCTCAGTATCTTTAGTGCTGGGATTCTAGAGGGGCACCACCATATCCAGTGACAAAGAATCTGACCCAAACTATCAGTAACTAGTTTTACAAAACCTATTGTAGTGTATATGAAAATTCTTCTTTGGTAGTGTCCTTAATAGTTTAGTGTTTATCCTTACGAATTAATTGAAGCTTTCCATTTTATCAGGAAGTACAGAAAAAGGTGACTGAAATTGTTCCATTAACTTAAAATTTTCAAATTTGGTTTCAGATTTTGATTTAAAATTTTTCCCTGTATATTGCATAGCCTCTGCTAATTTAGAAAGCAGCTTGGTATCTTGTTCCAGCCACATATTTCCCTGAAAACAAGGTGACTAAGGGAATTAGGGCACTGATATTAAGGAAATAGTTTAAATTTCCAAAGGTGCTTTTTTTTGGGGGGGGAGGTAGGGTGGGCGGAGTCAGTTGTGGTACTTGAACTCTGGGCCTGGACACCGTCCCTCAGCTCTTCAGCTCAAGGTATGCGCTCTACCACTTGAGCCATAGCACCACTTCTGGTTTTCTGGTGGTTTATTAGAGATAAGAGTCTCATGGACTTTCCTGCCTGGGCTGGCTTTGAACCGCAATCCTTAGATCACAGCTTCTTGAGTAGCTAGGATTATGTAATAGGTGTGAGCCACTGGCGCCCAGCTCAAAGGTGCTTTTTTACTTACATTTATACTGTCCCCTGGCTCAAAGGATGTTTAGCAAATGAACATTTCCCTCCAAATTATAAACTTATTTTAAAATCCAAATAGTTAGAAACTTGAAATGACCAGATAAATTTTGCTCCTATAGAGGAAGGAAGAGACCAACATTAGGGATTTTTATTAAAAAGACACAAAAATATCTTATATTTTCACTTCATTCTTATGTACTTCCTTCTTTTACCTGATTCTATATTCTGTTAAACTTATATTCATCATGGTGACATCAGTCTTGAGAACCTGAGAATGCTTAGTTAGGTTTAGCCTAAGGCTGTTGTGTTCTGTTATTGGCTTCTAATTTGTTTTTTGTTTTTTTTTTTTGGGGGGGGGTCCGGTCGTGGGGCCTGAACTCTGGGCCTGGGTGCTGTCCCTCAGCTCTTCAGCTCAAGGCTAGCGCTCTACCACTTGAGCCACAGCGCCACTTCCGGCTTTTTTCTTTTTTCTTATGTGGTCCTGAGGAATCGAACCCAGGGCCTTGAGTATGCAAGGCAAGCGCTCTACCAGTGAGCCACCTTCCCAGCCCTGGCTTCTAATTTTTTGAGTTACAGTTTAGAGTTTGATACTAGAAACCCTCAGTCTTTCAGTGATATCACACTTTTACTCTTCAGTAGGTAATCTACAACTGGTTTAGGACCAGACTGTTGGAGGAAGGGAAGAGGAGGAAGCACAGTCCTGAGAGATTGGTTTAGAGGGTAGCCTTTTCTGCCTTTTGCTGTCATTTGCTTCTAGCACTTCCCTAGGAGTCCATAGTGAAAAGCTGTGCTTAGTGTGTTTCCTGAACACTCTGGACCAGCCAAGTATAGAGCAGAATGGCTTAAAAGGCCATCTTCATGGAGCTTTGTTTTAGGCCACCCAGACATGTGGTCAGCTGGGGTTAATGTTTACTGGGATTTAGTGTGTTTTCATACAGTGTGGTCTTTCACACTGCACTGCTGTGCTGGCATTGCTAAACTTGCTGCATCAGATACTCTCCTTCCCCGTGTACTTTTTCACCTCCAGTAACTTATTTCTTCATTTTCTTCTGGAAGTCTGACTGCTTTCTTTTTCAATATTCTGGCTACTTTACTGTTCCTGCCACATTCCAAGCTCCTTCTGTTTACCTGGGTTTATTTGTACCCTTGGGATTTATGTTATTTACATGATCAACCAATATTAATAGCTGTTCCTTAAGTCTGTGAGGTGCTGATATATTTATAGATGCTTATTCCATTTCTACTTCCTCCCAGCTTTTCCTGTGTACAGAGTTCATTGCCCTATAGGAACCCTTCCAAAAAACTGACAGTGTTTAGGCCCACAGTTATCTGGAGCCAGTGGCCAAGAGTTCAACACTGATGTCCGTGGAAGAAAAGTCACTACCCTGCTTGGTGTTGTTTCCTGCCCCCGTAACCATGGATTCTATCTAATATTTGTCTCTGCACTGAAGTACACAACTGAGTTTAGTACTACAGATTTGACTGTGATGGGCTTTGCAAAACACAACTATTTCAGGAGATGAAGCCTATTTGACTAATTTTGTACCGACCTTATCAAGAAGGCAGTGGTGTGAACACTGTACAGGATATAATAAACCCGTACTGTCACTACCTGACAGTTCTATAGTCATTTTGAAGCACATTAACTGACTAAATAGTTTTAGTTTAAGGTTTTGTTACATTGTTTTTGAAGTGGTTTTAATATTTTATTTTGGTTTTTGTTTTGCTTTTTATGATGGTGTGGATGAACCCAGGGTCTTACATATACAGGTAAATACTTTATCACTGAGCCTATATATACTCATCCCTTAATGGTTTTAGTAATTTTTTGGCAGGAAACATTTAATGGAAAAAGCCTTTGTATAATACTCTTGTATTTTGATTTTTTTTATCTTGCAGATGTGATTATATTGATTAAATCAGATAGTGTCCATCTGTACTGTAACCCTGTCAACTATCGCTATCTGTTACCCTATGTGGCACATTGGAGAAATCTGCATTTCCACTGCATGACTGAAAATGAGGTAAGGTGTAAAAGAAAATAGGCACATACTTAAGGAAAGTGTTGGTATGGAACAGGAGGTACCCCTCCCTGTTCCCCTAAAAATCAAATTGTAGAGTGTGATTACATAAAAATAGCTCCTTGTTTCAAGTGGAAAGTTTTGAATTTCATATGAAGCTAACTTTTTTTTTGGGGGGGGTACGGTAGTGGGGCCTGAACTCTGGGCCTGGGCGCTGTTCCTCAGCTCTTCAGCTCAAGGCTAGCGCTGTACCACTGGAGCCACAGCGCCACTTCTGGCTTTTTTCTTTTTGCTTATGTGGTGCTGAGGAATCGAACCCAGGTCCTCATGCATGCAAGGCAAGCGCTCTACCACTGAGCCACCTTCCCAGCCCCATGAAGCTAACTTTTAAATAAATTTTTTACCTATTTAAACTGGAGCCTAGTAATAGCTTTATAAATCCACTGTCCTGACTTATTCTATTCTAGCCTGAATCCAGTCTCTCTCCAGGCTAGTAGTATCTAGGGACTGCCCTTGGAGATTTTTTTTTTTTAATTTTGTGATATTCTTATTTTGGAATCCTTGAGATTTGGGATTTCATAGAAATTGTTCACCAGTATTGGTCAAGAACTCTTTTTTCCGGGCTGAGAAGGTGGCTCAGTGGTAGAGCGCTTGCCTTGCATGCATGAGGCCCTGGGTTCGATTCCTCAGCACAACATAAGCAAAAAGGAAAAAGCCGGAAGTGGCTCTGTAGCTCAAGTGGTAGAGCGCTAGCCTTGAGCTGAAGAGCTGAGAGACAGCGCCCAGGCCCAGGCCCAGAGTTCAGGTCCCACGACTGGACCAAAAAAAAACAAACTCTTTTTTCCATGTGAATGAGGGGCTTAAGGGTGTTGGCCAAGTTTTATCTTTTTTTTTTTTTGTCTGTTGTGGGGCTTGAACTCTGGGGTCTGGATGCTGTCCCTCAGCTCTTCAGCTCAAGGCTAGCGCTCTACCACTTGAGCTACAGTGCCACTTCCGGTTTTCTGGTGGTTTATTGGAGATAAGATTTTCACGGACTTTCACGGGCTGGCTTTGAACTGGGATCCTCAGATCTCAGCCTCCTGAGTAGCTAGGATTACACAGACATGAGCCACCAGTGCCCTGCTCCAAGTTTTATCTTCTACATTTAGGTCTCTTGATCCATTTTAAGTTTTTTTGTGTGTGTGTGTGATATGAGTTTGACAAGTATTTCTGACTAGCAAATGACTGATTCTTGCTGCTTCTATAAAGATAACTTAGGTCAACTCTGATAAAATACAGGGACAATAAAGAACTTTGTATAACATCTCATTACTGTCTGTTTTAATTTGTCTTCAGTATGAAGATGAGGAAGCTGCAGAAGAATTTAAAATTTCCAGCTTTGTGGACATGGTTCGAGACTGTAGTAAAATTGGCATTCCTTATAGCTCCCAAGGTAAGTCTCTTATAGTGAGTTTTTATTGGATAGTGTATAAATGGAATGCCTCTGTTTCTTTCTTTGGAAGCATTCAGACGGGAAATGCCTTGATTCATTTTTACTAAGGCAAAGAATGAAGCAGAGTGAAGTTTGGGGACTTTCCTATACAAGCTTGTATTCATAAATGAAATTTTCACATCAACACAGCAAGCTACCTGTGGCCAAGAAGAAGATCTAATGAAGGATTTAGCACAATTGACATTTAGTTTGTATCACTTTTTTTTCCTGAAACATAGCCCAGGTTATCCTGGGACTCACTATGTAGCCCAGGGTGGGCTCAAACTTGAGACCTTCATTCCTCTGCCTTCAGAATGCTTGATATACAGGCATTTGTCAACATACTTGCCTCTGTATCTCTTTTTTATGTGAGGCCTCTTGGTTAAAAAAAAGTAGTAATTTAGATAGCCATTTAAAAACATGCTGACAGAGTGGCTAAAAAAATGATATGCTGACAGATTAAAAAACGATGTGTGGCTGGGAAGGTGGCTCAGTGGTAAAGCGCTTGCCTTGCATGCTTGAGGCCCTGGGTTCGATTCCTCAGCACCAATAAGCAAAAAAACAAGCCAGAAGTGGTGCTGTGGCTCAAGTGGTAGAGCGCTAGCCTTGAGCTGAAGAGCTGAGGGGCAGCGCCCAGGCTCAGAGTTCAGGCCCACGACCGGACCCAAAATAAAAAACGATGTGTGGAGCCGGGCGCCAGTGGCTCACACCTGTAATCCTAGCTACTCAGAAGGCTGAGCTCTGAGGATAATGGTTCAAAGCCAGCCCAGGCAGGAAAGTCCATGAAACTCTTATCTCCAATAAACCACTCAGAAAACCGGAAGTGGTGCTGTGGCTCAAAGGGTAGACCCCCTAGCCTTGAGCTGAAGAACTGAGAGACAGTGCCCAGGCCCAGAATTCAAGCCCCCATAACCAGCCAAAAAAGAAAAAATGATATGTGGAATACAAAAAAAAAAAAAAAATTGGTACTGGGGCTGAATCTCAGAGCCAGTCTCAGCACTGTCCCTTAGATTTTTTGCTCAAGGCTGATGCTGTACTACCTGAGCCTCATCTCTTACAGTTTTTGGTGACTAATTGGAGATAAAAGTCTCATGAACTTTACTGCATGGGCTGGCTTTAAACTGTGCAGTGCCTGGCTTAGTATTGTATTAAAAAAAACTGTATTTGCTATTGTTACAAGAAAGGAAACTTTTTGATTTGGTAATTTTCCCTTGAGGAAGTTGGCCATGTTTCCTAAGGGAAAGAAGCCAACTTCAGATCTGTTAATAATTACACCCACTAAATGATGCAAGTCAGTTGTAACAGAGTACTATTTACTTACTTACTTTTTACTTAATTAGGAAATCAAAATGAAAATGTAGAGAAATCTGAATTTATGTCACTTGGTTAGGTTAGAGTTTTCCTTGGATTTTATATAGTATTTCTAGTTTGAATGTATAACCTTTTTTCCTTTGAATGTATTTTGCCAGATGAGGCCCTGGTGAACTGGTGAGAAATGATGCCTATCTGACCATGTTAGATCAGGTTTAAAGACTGCTATGTCCAGGATAGCATTTGATATGTGTTGTTGTATTTGATTCCTCTAGGTCACTTACAGATATTTGATATGTTTGTGGTGGAGAAATGGCCAATTGTACAGGCCTTTGCACTTGAGGGCATTGGAGGGGATGGATTTTTTACCATGAAATATGAGGTATGTATGAAAAGCAGTGTATTTGGTTTTTGTCTGCCAGTGCTGTTAATTATGAAGGTCTCACAAAGTGAGCATACATTACTGTATCCCTCTGAAAACCTGACTGTTACTTCCCAAGGACATGGAGCACATTAGGATATTTGAAATGCAAAACAGTTGTTTTTGTGCCAGCTTGGCTGGGACACTGTACATGAGCTTTTATGCTCAAAGCTAGCACTATACTACTTGAGCCACAGCTCTACTTCCAGCTTTTTGGTGATTAATTTGAGTTAAAAGATTCATGGATTTTCTTGCCTGAGCTGGCTTCGAACCCCAATTCAGTGTTCTTAAATTTAGCAGATGACCAGTGACTCTTTGTTAAGTCAATTAATGAATGAATCTAAGGAAAAGGACTCTCTGGAAAGGCCTAGTAGGTTAGCAGCCAGACACAGGCTCCATGTGCCTCAATTGGATACACACTGACATGACCTGCCCCATCCAGCACAGGAAGCCAAGGAGGCAAAGAATTATCATGTTAGAAATGGGCACATCCTGTTATACCTTAGAAGCAAGCCTGAGAAATATCAGAATCCCTAGGAAATATGCTTGGCAGGACCACTTAGACTTGACTTTTCCTGCTCTAAAGCAACAGAATTTTTCCACTGCTACCAAGTAGCAGAACCTCAGCAAGGCTTTGGGAAGTAGTACTCTCTAATTCAGAAGTTTAGGGGCTTGAAAGGAGACAAACTACCAGACATAAATTATTTGGGGGGAAGGGCTTGAACTTACCAGCTGGGCACTGCCCCTGAGCTTTTTCACTCAAGGCTAACACCCTACCACTTTGAGCCACAGCTCCACTTTCAGTTTTCTGGTGGTTAATTGGATATAAAGTTCTTGCAGACTTTCCTGCCAAGGCTGGCTTCAAACCTCAGATCTTAGCCTCCTGAGTAGGTAAGATTACAGGTGTGAGCCACCAGTGCCTGGCTAATAATGATTGTATTTTAATTGTATGAACTAGACATTTGTAGAATGTCAACTTACATGACAGACACTACTCTGAGCACTTTATATGAAGTGACTGGTTTAATTTTTTTTTGTCGGTCTTGGGGCTTGAACTCTAGGCCTGGGCAATGTCCCTGAGCTGTTTAGGTCAAGGGGAGCACTCTACCACTTGAGGCATAGTGCCATTTCTGGTTTTTCTGGTGGTTAATTGGAGGTAAGAGCCTCCTGGACTTTCCTGCCTGGGCTGGCTTTGAACCATGAACCTCAGATCTCAGTCTCCTGAGTAGCTAGGATTTTAAGTGTGAGCCACTGGTACCCAGCTGGTTTAATTTTTATAAAACTCTCTGAGGTAGGTACTATTTTATATGTCTCTTTTTCAAAGAAATTGAATGAACTTCCCAGTCACAAAGTAAGTGACGGTAGGCTTTGGCCAAGTTCAGATGGTTTGTCTCAGAGCCAATGTTAATACAACCCAAGTGAGGCAGGCGGTCTGACTCCTGCCTTAAGGTACTAAATACCATGATGTCACATTCAGAAAGGTCCCTGCCCCCTAACAACTTTGATCTTTACACAGTAAGGTGGGTTATTTGGAGGAAATGGCATATATCACTGCCAGTGTAGTGGTAAATGCCTATAGTCCCACTACTTGGAAGGCTGAGGTAGGAGGATGTCAACTTGAATGCTAGCCTGAGGTACATACAGAGTCATACTGTCTCAAAAAAAAAAAAAGAAAAAAAGAGAAAGAAATTCTTTTATTCTGCTCCTATGTAGTTGTTAGTTTTTATTCTTCAGATATTTTGACTCTACTTCACCTTTCCTCACCTGAAGTCTCAGCTCTCTTCTTTACCCTCTCTTTCCCAGTTATTTAAGATGTGGAACAGTTTACTCTGCTAGTGTCCTCTCTACTGAACTCTGAGGGCTTGATGACTGCCTACGTCAGACCCTCTGGCTACCTATGATGGCCAAAAAGAGAGCTATAGATACTTATAACTTTACATTTTAAACTTTGTTTTTAATTAAACGGCCGTATTCAATGGAAGGTCCCTTATTTATTTATTTAGTCAGTTGTGGGACTTGAACTCTGGGCCTGGGCACTAGCACTTTGAGCCATACCACTTCCTGTTTTCTGGTGGTTTGAAGGTAAGTGTCTCAGGGACTTTCCTTCCCTGGCTGCCTTCAAACTGCAGTCCTCAGATCTCAACCTCCTAAGTAGCTAGGATTATAGGTATGAGCCACTGGTGCCTGGCTTAGAGGGCCTTTTGTCCCTGATGGTGGTAGGTTGTCAGCAGGAGAAAGAAAGCCCGTCTAGGCTAGGTCATAATTTTATTTGGCATTGAGACTAAGCTAAACTGGGTCATAGATATGGAGAATTTTCTCTACCTGGAAGCTGTAGAGGGAAGTTTTATAGCTTGTGTTTTTCTTCCAACTTCCTTCTTTTTTGGGGGGGGGAATCCGGTAGTGGGGCCTGAACTCTAGGCCTGGGTGCTGTCCCTCAGCTCTTCAGCTCAAGGCTAGTGCTCTACCACTTGAGCCACAGTGCCACTTCCGGCTTTTTTCTTTTTTTGCTTATGTGGTGCTGAGGAATCGAACCCAGGGCCTCGAGCATGCAAGGCAAGCGCTCTACTACTGAGCCACCTTCCCAGCCCCCCAACTTCCTTCTTATCCTTGAGCTGCTAGAAAGAGCTATTAGTTGGCAAGATAAATTTATAACAACTGGCTTCCTAAGGGAGGATCCTAATAGCAACCATCTGGCTAATGAAAGTAAGCAATTATTTTACTTATTTATGGACAAACAAAATCTTCATACTAAAATGTGAAGTAAGATTTTTGAAAAAAAATTCAGTAAGCCAGGAATGTTGACACACATTTCTAATTCCAACACTCAAGAGATTGGGATCATATGTGTGATCACAAGTGTTCACAAGTGTGTTAGACTTTTTGTCACTGGTGAAATACCTGATTTAAACCACTTCAGTGGAGCTGTATTTTGGCTCATGGGTTTAGTCCATGGGCCTTGACTATTGATTCCAGGCCTATGATGAGGCAGAACATCTTGGCAGTGGGAGCATGGGAAGCAGAGAGAGGAAGGGATTGGAAACCAAGTACGAATTTGAAAAGCACACCCTTGCTGGGGGCCAGTGGCCCACTCCTGTAATCCTAGCTCCTCAGGAGGCTGAGATCTGAGGATCTCGGTTCAAAGCCATCCTGGGCAGGAAAGCCCGTGAGACTCTTATCTCCAATTAACCACCAAAAAACCCAGAAATGGTGCTGTAGCTTAAGTGGTAGAGCGCTCACCCTGAGCTGAAGAGCGTAGGGACAGCACCCAAGCCCAGAGTTCAAACCCCACAACCAACAACAACAACAACAACAACAAAAAGCACACCTTTAGTGACCTACTTCTGTAGCTAGGCCCTGCCTCCTAAGATTTCACTACCTCTCAAAGTAGCACCACCAGCTCAGGTCCAGGCATTTAACAGATGAACCTGTGTATAGTATTTAGTATTCAGATCATAGCAGTGAGTTGGAAGTAAACATGGGCTACATAATGACATCTTACCTCAGAAAACAAGCTAAAACAAAACAACATTAAACAGAACATTAAAAGATCACAATCTGTTAGATGCAAGGATATATATCAGCATTTTAAGTTGGACACCAGTGGCTATGCCTACAACCCTAGCTATTCAGGAGGCTGAGATCTGAAGATTGTGGTTCAAAACCAGCCTTAGCGGGAAAGACTGTGAAACTTTTTTTCCAATTAACCATCGAAAAGCCAGAAATGGAGCTGTGGCTCAAGTGATAGAGCACTATTGAGCACAAAAGCTCAAGAACAATGCCCAGGCCCTGAATTCAAGACCCAGTACACACACACACACACACACACACACACACACACACACACACACACACACGTGCATGCACGCACACATGCGCACACACCACGTACACACACACACACACACACACACACACACACACACACACAGTAAAATTCTCCGTGGTTGGTGCCCAGGCCCTGAATTCAAGACTCAGTACACACACACACACACACACACACACACACACACAGTAAAATTCTCCGTGGTTGGTGCCCAGGCCCTGAATTCAAGACTCAGTACACACACACACACACACACACACACACACACACACACGAAATGTAAAATTCTCTGTGGTTGGTATCCAGAGATTATGAAGTTTAAAAAGAAGTAGAAAAAGCTGAGTGACAGTGGCTTATGCCTGTAATCCTGGCTACTCAAGAGGCTGAGACGATTATAGTTCAAAACCAACCTGGGGGGCTGGGAAGGTGGCTCAGTGGTAGAGCACTTACCTTGCATGCATGAGGCTCTGGGTTTGATTTCTCAACATCATATAAGGAAAAAGAAAAAAGCCGAAAGTGGCGCTGTGGCTCAAGTAGTAGAGCGCTAGCCTTGAGCTGAAGAGCTGAGGGACAGCACCCAGACCCAGAGTTCAGGCCCCACGACCGGACCCCCCGAAAAACTAAAAAACAAAAAAACCAACCTGGTCAGAAAAGTCCAAAATAACCAACAAAAATCAGGACTAGAGACATGGCTCAAGTGGTAGGCACTAGCCTAGCAAGTGCAAGACTCTTGAGTTCAAACTCCAGTACTAAAATAAAAAAAAATTTACATTTATCTATCTGTATACCAAAAAAAAGAGTTTTTAGTAGTTGCTTTTGTGGAGTGAAGATAACAGAAGATGTTTAGAGCTTGGAGTAGGGAAGTCACATTTTTTTATTTTAAATTTCCTATTTGATTTTTTTTTGGGGGGGTCCGGTCATGGGGCCTGAACTCTGGGCCTGGGCGCTGTCCCTCAGCTCTTCAGCTCAAGACTAGCGCTCTACCACTTGAGCCACAGTGCCACTTCTGGCTTTTTTCTTTTTTGCTTATGTGGTGCTGAGGAATCGAACCCAGGGCCTCAGGCATGCAAGGCAAGTGCTCTACCACTGAGCCACCTTCCCAGCCCTCCTATTTGATTTTTAAATTAAAAATTTTGTTATTTTAAAGGTGATGTACAGAGGGGTTACAGTTACATAAGTCAGGTAATAAATATATTTGGTTTTTTTTTTTTTTTTGGTCGGTCATGGGGGTTGAACTCTGGGCTTGGGCGCTATCCCCGTGCTCTTCAGCTCAAGGCCAGCACTCTACCACTTGAGCCACAGCGCCATTTCCAGTTTTCTAGTGGTTTAACAGACTTTCCTGCCCGGGTTGGCTTTGAACTGTGATCCTCAGATCTTAGCCTCCTGAATAGCAAGGATTACAGGTGTGAGCCACCAGCGTCCGGCTTGTATTTCCTTTTTAGACAATGTCACCCTTTCCTTCATTGTTTCCTAGTTTTTCCTTCCTGTCCTCACATACAAGTTGTATAGTTCATTTTCAACATAGTGTCTGCTGCATTTGTTCCTATTTGATATCTTTAAAGATATGTATTTGATTTTTTAAACCATAGATATGTATTATTTTAGTTAAAATTACAAAGACAAAACCATAGAATACTTATATACATATACATGTATATTATATACATATATATTATGTATACATACATTTATCTATCTATCTATCTACCATGTGTATGTATGTATATATGTGTGAACAATGATTGAAGATAATCAAAGAATGTACCAAAAGTTCTGAAAATATTCTTGAATGTGAAAGTATTTAGTATGTGAAAGTTCTATTAAACTTGAAACACTTAGGGACATGGAGGCATGGGTAAGGTGGCAGAGTGCCACCTGAGAAAGCAAGAGGTCCTGAGTTCCTCAAAAAAATAAAAATAAAAACCACAGTATATTGGGTGCTGGTAGCTCATACTTGTAATCCTAACTACTCAGGAAGCTGGGATCTGAGGATCTGAGCAGCTAGGGCAAAAAAAAGTCTGTGAGACTTATCTCCAGTTAACCAGCAAAAAGCTGGAAATAAGCCAGGTACTTGTGGCTTATGCTTGTAATCCTAGCTACTCAGGAGGCTGAGATCTGAGAACCATGGTTCAAAGGCAGCCTGGGCAGGAAAGTCCGTGAGACTCTTATCTACAATAAGTCATTCAGAAAACCACATGTGGCGCTATGGCTCAAGTGATAGAGCGCTAGCTTTGAGCTGAAGAGCTCAGAAGTGCTTAGGTCCAGAGTGCAAGCCCCATGACCGACCAAAAAAGAAAAAAAAAGCTGGAAATGGAAGTGTGGCTCAAGTGGAAGAATATTGGCCTTGAGCAAAAAAGTCAAATGAAAGCCAAAGCCCCGAGTTCAAGTCCCAGGACTGGGTCAAAAAAATCTCTGATTTACTATTCTTATCACACCAATTAGAGTAATTTCTGAATATCAAAAAATTCTGATTGTCTTAATGATACTGACTTAATTATTTCAATGTTTTTGTTCTTTATTCCAGTTGCAAGATGTGAGTTTGAATCTGTGGAATGTTTACAGCAAGATGGATCCTATGTCTCTGGAAAATTTGCTTTCAGAAGTAAGGAGACAAACAATTTAATTTAGTGAAATAGAGTAGTTTTTTCCTAGATTGTTATCTTGTGCTTATTGGGAAAGGAAGAGAACCTGAAAAAGTGATACTCCCTCTTCCTATTCTACTATGAGAAAACTTTACTTGAGGTAAAACTGAGGCCTTCTTCATAGTTTAGGATCTGAAGTTTCTCCTAAAGATAATCTTTCTGTGGGACTAAGTCTTAGTGAAACAGTGTAGAATGTGTTTTGTTGTTGTTGTTATTGTTTTGTAGCATAAAAAAAAGATGAGGTATGGCTTAAAGGAATCAAAGAGAATTCTGCAGAGGGCTAGAGATTAATAGTTTTGGCTTTGCGTGCTATTTGGTCTCTACTGCAACTATTTAGCGATACCATTGTAACATATAAGTGCCCTAGACAGAGCTTTAACAAGTGAATGTCTTAAGAGTGTATCTACAAAAAAATATGTGGATCTGCCCACCAGCTGTAGTTTGCCAACTTCTCCGACATTGTTCATCTGAACTTTGAAAAAAAAAAATTCAGGGTAAGGAGAACAATTTGCATTAAGAAAACAACAAATGAAGCTAAAGCCATGAGCTGGGCACTGGTGGTTCATACCTGTAATCCTAGCTACTCAGGAGGCTGAAATCTGAGGATCACCGTTCAAAGCCATCCTGTGCAGGAAAGTCCATAAGACTTTCCAATTAACCACCAGAAAACTAGAAGTGGAGCTGTGGCTTAAAGTGGTAGAGTACTAGCCTTGAGCAGAAAGAGCTCATGACTGACAAAAACAAAAAAACACCTAAAGCTATGAAATAGGTACTATCGTAAACAGTTCAGTAGTGTCTCTCAGTGGATGTAAATGAATGTATATAAAACCCCTATGATGTGTCCCTTTAACTTTGTACCCCTCATTTAGAATAGGGTAGAATAGACTGTTTACTATCTTTTTTTATTAATAAGTTTTTTATTGTGAAAATATTGTACAGAGGGGTTACAATTACATGAGCAAGGTAATAAGTACAGTTCTTATCAAGCGTTGTTGCCTCCACCTTCGTTTTTCCCCTACCATCCCTGCCCTTCCATCTCCACGACTACACTCCCCCCCAATACTATCATTTTTTATAACCAGCACTAATTTTAAAAAATGGGTGTATTTGCTGAGCACTGATGGCTCATGCCTATAATCCTAAATACTCAGGAAGCTGAGATCTGGGGATCCAAGCAGGAAAAGCTATGAGATTCATATCTTCAATTAACTACCATCATTCCTTCCTCACCCCACCCCCAAAACAAAATAAGTAGAGCTGTCACTCAAGTAATATAGCACCAACCTTGAATGAAAAAGCTAGGGAGGGCTGAGAATGTGGCTTAGTGCTGGAGTGCTTGCCTAGCATGCGTGAAGCCCTGGGGTTGATTCCTCAGTACCACATAAACAGAAAAAGCCAGAACTGGAGCTGTGGCTCAAGTGGGAGAGTGCTAGCTTTGACCCAAAGAAGCTTATGGACAGTGCCCAGGCCCTGAGTTCAAGCCAAAGTACCAGCAACCAGAGTACCTTAAACTGATTAGTTAGAAAGATGCACAAAAAAGCTTGCTGGATGCTAGTGGCTCACACATGTAATTCTAGCTACTCAACAGGTTGAAATCTGAGGATCAAGGTTTGAAACCAGCCTAGGCAGGGAAGTTTGTGTGACTCTTATTTCCAGTTAACCACCAAAAAAAACCAAAAAACCTGAGTCCCAGCCCCAGTATTGGCGCACACACAAAAATAGCAGAAAGTACCATGTGCTGGTGGCTTATGCCTGTAATCCTAGCTACTCAGGAGGCTGAGATCTGAGGATCGAGGTTCAAAGCCAGCCCGGGCAGAAATATCCATGAGACTCTTGTCTCCAGTAAACCATTAGAAAACTGGAAGTGGCGCTGTGGCTCAAGCGGTAGGGCGCTGACCTTGAGCTGGAGAGCACAGGGATAGCGCCCAAGCCCAGAGTTCAAGTCCCACAACCGACCAAAAAAAAAAGAAGAATACAACTCAAAGCCAGGTGCTGGTGGCTTACAACTGTAATCTTAGCTACTCAGGAGGCTGATATCTGAGTATCACAGTTTCAAGCCAAACAGAGCAGGAATTTCTGTGAGACTTTTTTTTGTTGTTGTTTTTGGTTTTTTTGTTTTTGGGTTCGGTTGTGGGGCTTGAACTCTGGGCCTGGGCACTGTCCCTCAGCTCTTCAGCTCAAGGCTAGCGCTCTACCACTTGAGCCACAGCACCACTTTCGGCTTTTTTTTCTTTTTGCTTATGTGGTGCTGGGGAATCGAACCAAGGGCCTCATGCATGCAAGGCAAGTGCTCTACCACTGAGCCACCTTCCCAGCCCCTCTGTGAGACTCTTTTTTTTTTTTTTTTTTTTGGGTCCAGTAGTGGGGCCTGAACTCTGGGCCTGGGTGCTGTCCCTCAGCTCTTCAGCTCAAGGCTAGCACTCTACCACTTGAGCCACAGCGCCACTTCCGGCTTTTTTCTTTTTGCTTATGTGGTGCTGAGGAATCGAATCCAGGGCCTCAGGCATGCAAGGCAAGTGCTCTACCACTGAGCCACCTTCCCAGCCCTGTGAGACTTTTTTGTGTGTGTGTGTGTGTGGCAGGGAGGGGGGCATCAATCATGGGGCTTGAACTCTGGGGCTGAGTGCTGTCTCTCAGCACTTCAGCTCAAGGTGAGCACTCTACCACTTGAGCCACAGTGCCACTTCCATTTTTTGGTGGTTTATTGGAGATAAGGGTTTCATGGCCTTTCCTGCCCCAGGCTGGCTTTGAACCATAATCCTCAGATCTCAGCCTCCTGAGTAGCTAGATTACAGGCGTGAGCCACCAGTGCCCAGCTCTGTGAGACTCTGAAAGTGGAAGTGTCACTGTGGCTTAACTGACACTCTGGAAGTGTCACTGTGGCGTAAAGTAGTAAAGTGCTAGCCTTGAGCAAAAGAGCTCAGGGACAGTGCTCAGGCCCTGAGAGGAAGGCCCATGACCAACTAACACACAAAAAAGCACAATTCACTGATGATTTAATAAATTTAAAGAGCTGTATAACTATCACAACAAGCAAATTTTAGAACATTTTCATCAACCCAGAAAGTTAACCTGTTCTCACTTGAAGCCAATCTTAATTCCTACCACAGCCCTAGGCAACTACCAGTCGCTACTTGTCTTTGAGGATGTTTTATATAAATTGAACATATTCCTGATAGTTTTTTGTGTTTTTTTTTTTTTTGGTCAGTCATGGGGCTTGAATTGAACTCTGGGTCTGGGTGTTGTCCCTCAGTTCTTCAGCTCAAGGCTAAGACTCTACCACTTTAGCCACAGTGCCACTTCCTGTTTTCTGGAGGTTTATTGGAGATAAGAGTCTCACGGAGTTTTCTGCCTGGGCTGGCTTTGAACCACAATCCTCAGATCAGCCTGCTGAGTAGCTGGGATTATAGGTGTGAGCCACCAATGTATGGCTCCTGATAGTCTTTTATATCTAGCTTCTTTCACTTGACATGTTTTTATGATTAGTCTATGTTGTAGTGTCTATCATTAGTATTACATTTCTTTTTATTCATTATAGAAATCAGTCTGATAGTTGATATCCCTTACAGTTTCAGGATAATAGTTTTCCAAAGAATTCTTATATAACATTCTTTTTTAAAAATTTTTCTTTGTAGGATTTGGTGGCTTTTGAGCATCAATGGACTAGCTTCTTTGCTAATTTTGACACAGAAATTCCTTTTCTACTGGAACTTTCAGAATCTCAAGCGGGTGAGGTAAGTAAGGGAAGAGCCAGAGAGAAGTAAGTGGATTAGTTATTTATCATTTTCATTATTTATTAGTTTTTTCAAAATACAATACTACCCTAACTTACTTTTTATTTTTATATATACTTTTACATATTAGAAACCTTGTTTTGTTTTTGTCAAGTCATGGGGCTTGACCTCAGCGCCTGAGCTCTTTTGCTCAAGGCTAGCACTCTACCACTTTGAGCTGCAGCTCCACTTCTGATTTTCTGGTTGTTAATTGGAGATGAGTCTCATGGATTTCCTGTCTCTGCTGGTTTGGAACCATAGTCCTCAGATCTCAGTCTTCTGAGTAACTAGGATTACAGGAGTAAGCCACCAGCACCCAGCTGATTTTTTTTTTTTTCAGTCATGGGGCCTGAATTCTGGGTCTAGGTGGTCTCCCTCAGCTCTTCAGCTCAAGGCTAGTGCTATACCACTTGAACCACAGTGCCACAGTGCCACTTTCCAGCTTTTTTCTGCTTATGTGGTGCTGAGGAATCTAACCCAGGGCCTCATGCATGCAAGGCAAGCACTCTACCACTGAGCCACCTTCTCAGATGATTAAAAAAAAAAAATCAGTTGGTTATCTCTTCTGGAAATGTGACTTGGTGGTAGAGTGCTTGCCTAGCATGCATGAAGCCCTGGGTTTAACTCCTCAGTACCACATAAACAGAAAAGGCCAGAAGTGGCTTTTTTCAAGCCCTAGGACTGGCAAAAAAAATTATTTAAAGAGGAAAGGATCTTACTAGCTCTGATTCCATTGTATAGATTGTTTGCAGTTGGTATCCTGGCCTTTGATGGATGTCCTCTTAACATTTTTTGTGCTTCAAATTTTCTGATGATTAATTCTTTCAGCATTTGTATATCTGAGGAAAAATATTTTATTTTGCCTTTTTTGTTGTTGATTTTTTTGTGCCAGTTCTGTGGCTTAAACTAGGCCTGGGCACTGTCCCTGAACTTTTTTACTTTACCAATTGAGTCACAGATCCATTTCTGGTTTTTTGGTGGTTATTTGAAGATATGAGTATCATGGACTTTCCCTCCCAGGCTGGCTTGCAACTGAAATTCTCAGACCTCAGCCTCCTGAGTAGCTAAGATTATAGGCATTAGCAACTGGTAACCAGCTTGCCTTTTTTTTTTTTTTTGGTGCTAGTTCTGGAGCTTGAACTCAGGTCCTGAGTGTTGTCCCTGAGCTTTGTTACTCAAAGCTAGCACTTTATCACTTGAATTATAGCTCTATTTCCAGCTCTTGGGTGGTTAACTGGAGATAAAGGTCTCAAGGACTTGCCTGTGTTGGCTATCTTCGAACCTTGATCCTCAGATCTCAGCCTCCTGAGTATCTAGGATTATAGGCCTGAGTCACTAGTGCCTGTCCTTATTACTGATTTTAAATGAGTGAGTTATAATAAACATTCATTTATTGGAAATGTGGAAAAAGTATAAGGTTACAAATTAGATCATAAATGATTATTGATACAGTTTCAGTATTTAAAATTTATAAATTTGAATTTTTCTTTTCCTTTTGTAGATTTTTTTTGGATAACTTTTGTTTGTTTACTATTTGTCCACAAAATTCATGTCACTATCCACTATATATACCGTTTCATGTTCTTATAGTTATCCAGACATTTTTATATTTCTTACACACATTACATACCCACCTGATGTGTTTATACATATGCATACACATATACACAAATGAGGAATTTTGTGAAGATTTTACAAAACTATGGTCTTATATACAACTTTGGCTTCTTTTCAGCCATTCAGAAGTTATTTTAGTCATGGAATGATCTCCAGCCATATAACTGAAAACAGGTAATATTCCTGGGAAAGAATAGTGGATGTGAAATAGAAAACATAGTTGATGAGGATGATATGGGTGGGGTGGCACAGATATATGGAACATCCAAGTTCAGAAGTTTGAGTCAGGAGAGTATAGCTTGACTTATCAGAGGGTATGAATACTCTATAAACTCAAGTTATTTTACTGCTTTTGCATTTTTGTATTTGTTTTATTTTTCTGTAACTTTATAATAAATTAGCATGAAAACATTATAACCTGCTGAAATTTAAAGAAATTTTTACTCCATTCCTAGCCCAGGAAAATAAGAAGAGAGAGTGTCCAAGAGGGGCTAGGCAGGAGCACAACAGTGACTTGTGGGAAGAAAGAGGGATGAGGCTCAGGGTCCACACCATGAAGAGGATAGAGGGTTCTAGAGTGCTTCCTTCTGCGTTTTTCTCTTGAGCAGCAGAGGTGCTTCCCTTGATGGATAGAGAATATAGAACTTTCCTGTTTCTTAATTCCAGTTCTATAACAGTGACATCTACTACCCTGATGGGACTCAGATTCACCATTTCAGTTCACAATACCGTAAACTACACTGGTGGGACTCAGATTGATCATTTTTTGCCCAAAGTTCACTTGGCTTGCATTAAGTTTCAGAAGAAAAATTAATCCCTCGTATTTTTGAGGGCGCTAGTTTACCCCAAACCTCAAGTTGTAATTCTTAAGGAAAATGAAAATACCAGCAATTTAAGGAAAAGGAGGGGATAGTGGAAACTATCAAGTATTCCTTCAATATTTCCTTTAAAACATTCCTATGGTCAGGCGCCAGTAGCTCATACCTGTCAGCTACTCAGGAGGCTGAGGTCTGAGGATCGCAATTCAAAGCCAGCCTGGGCAGGAAAGTCCGTGAGACTTATTTCCAATTAACCACCGGAAGTGGCACTGTGACTCAAGTGGTCAAGTGCTCGTCTTGAGCTAAAGAGCTCAGGGACAGCGCCCAGGCCCAGAGTTCAAGCCCCACAACTGACAAAAAAAAAAAAAAAATCCTAGGGAAAATGAAAGGTACACTGAACTGAAAGCTTTACTGGACTGAATGGACCACAGGCAGTTTGAAATGTAGGAGATCTCTGGCTAAGTGAAATGAAACTATAATATTCTAGGAGGAACCAATAGGTTAATCCTGTTGTAAAAATGAGCTCTGTGCATTCATGAAACGGTTCCAATATTCCTCATTCAGATTCCCAGCAAGGCCTTTTTTTTTTTTTAACTATATACAAGTTCTGTTTATATAAAAAGTAAAACATTCTTCTGTTATCAAATATATGCTAGCAGCATATGATATATCAAAGAGAAATGATTAAAAAACAAAACAAACAAGTATGGTTTCTGCCCTATGGAGTTTATAATGTGATAGAGAATTAAGACACCAATCAAAAAACATACCAAAATGAACTCCAGGAAATGGAAACGAGGGTTTTTTCTTTTTTTTTTTTTTTTTTTGTTTTGTTATTTTGGGTCCAGTTGTGGGGCCTGAACTCTTGGCCTGGGCGCTGTCCCTCAGCTCTTCAGCTCAAGGCTAGCGCTCTACCACTTGAGTCACAGTGCCACTTCCGGCTTTTTTCTTTTTGCTTATGTGGTGCTGAGGAATTGAACCCAGGGCCTCAGGCATGCAAGGCAAGCGCTCTACCACTGAGCCAACTTCCCAGCCCCATCTTTTTGTTTTATTTAGTCTTTGAGATGGTAAAAGGGATCACAGAAATAGAAAGACAAAGGTGGACAAATGAAGCAGTGGTACTCACTAGACAATAAACTACACAAATTTTGTGTGAGGACTAGAGGGGAAAACTTGGAGAGAGTGAAGGATGGGGTTACATTGTCCAAAAAGAAATGAACTCATTGCCTGACTTTTTTTTAAAATTTCTTAAAGCCTTTACTTTTGACTTTTGAGACATAATGGATTAAAACCTTACACACATGGAAAAAGACAGACATGATCACAGTTGAACAGAATCTAGTCAGAAACATTTTAGTGACTGCCAGCTAATGGTGAAGCTGAAGTTCTGGGAGCATGACATGCTGCAGGGTCAAAGGAATGAGTGATTAGTACTCCTCTCCTTCTTCCTCACCCTCTCCTTCAACAGAATCCACACCAACCTCCTCATAATCCTTCTCTAGGGCAGCCATGTCCTCACAGGCCTCAGAAAACTCTCCTTCCTCCATCCCCTCACCCACATACCAGTGGACAAAGGCACGCTTGGCATACATCAGGTCAAACTTGTGGTCCAGGCGAGCCCAGGCCTCAGCAATGGCTGTGGTGTTGCTCAGCATGCACACAGCACGCTGCACCTTGGCCAGGTCTCCACCAGGAACCACAGTGGGAGGCTGGTAATTGATGCCAACCTTGAAACCAGTGGGACACCAATCCACAAACTGGATGCTACGCTTGGTCTTGATAGTGGCAATGGCAGCATTAACATCTTTGGGAACCACATCACCACGGTACAACAGGCAGCAGGCCATGTATTTACCATGGCAAGGGTCACATTTCACCATCTGGTTGGCTGGCTCAAAGCAAGCATTGGTGATCTCTGCTACAGAAAGCTGTTCATGGTAGGCTTTCTCAGCAAAGATGACAAGGGCATATGTGTCATTGCCTGACTTTTGAAACTAACCTTTCTGTATATCATCCCTATAATAATAAAAATAAATACTCATATGGAAATATATTACAACTCTGATTGGTCCTATGAAATAGAAAAGAACATGGTTCTGTGTACACCATAATTAGAAAGCCAGATCACCTCAGGAATGATGAGTAGAAATAGAGAAGAGTCAGAAGCCCAGGACCAAAAATAATAATAATAATACTTTTTTAAAAGAGCACAAACTTGGCTAGAGTATGGGAGTTAAGGATGAATGGCCTTGCATGGAGTTGAAGAAATTGACCAGACTATAGAAGTTCTTTTTGGCTATGTGCAAGATTTAGGTTTTTCTCCTAATAGTAACACAAAGGTAGTACATGTTTTGCATGTTTGAAAGATTGTCATCACTTTTGGAGACTAGATTATAGAAGGGCAAAAGTTGATACAAGGAAACAGTGAGGGAAAGCTGCAGTTGTCCAAGAAAGAAATGATGGTAAACCCAGAATAAGACTGAGGCCAGGTGACTGGAGAGAAATAGATAAATAGGAATGAGCTAGGAAAGGCTGTTTAGATTTAGGGATGAGGAAGCCGATATCAATGGGATGTCACTGGTATCCTTTGCAAGAGCACTGTGAATGAAATGAGTGAGGGGAGTTGTTTGGATGGGCTGAGGAATAAGCAGGAAATGTGTATGAGGTCCAGCTAAGAGAAGTAGTAAGATAAGGATGGCAGGAGGGTATAGTGATGAGACCATTTACATTCCTCTTCTTCTCTCCTGCAAGTTAGTTAGAAAATAACTGCTATATTGTTTATCTAGTCTAAAAATCAGAGTTATTATCATACTTTTTTAAAGGCATTTCTGTTAAGATGTTATTTAATAACATCTTAAAGGGTTTGCTTTATCTTTACATCATGGACAACAAACTTAAAGCTCAAGTTGGAAAATACAAACCAAGCAAGGGTTTAGTTAGGTCCTAAACAACTAAACCCATAGGTCACTAGGAAGAGAGAGACATCTGGCATTCCTTTCCAATCAGCCAGGAATATTAGGTAGACTGGACTTTGCTCGTGTTGTAGGACATTGCTCAGAATAACCTGAGAACTCACTCAGGTGATAGGAAGTTGCCCTGACCAGGAATCCCTTTTCTAATCACATTCTAATCTATTGTTGACTTTCTGCATTAGCCCCAGTCGGCAGCCATTTGTTCTCTTTGGTAATCACTCCACACGAGAAAACCTGAATGCTGGCAACTTCAACTTCCCTTCTGAAGGACACCTAGTACGCAGCACTGGTCCTGGTGGGAGCTTTGCCAAACACATGGTGAGTAGCTGGACTACCTGGTGTACATGATTACATTTATCAAATAAGAGGGAAAGGCAGCTGGACAAAGGAATCTTTCCCAATTAATATGTTGATTTAGCTCTGAATCTGAAATTGTTTTGAAGGTTAGAAATCTATTGGAGGGGCTGAGAAGGTGGCTCAGTGGTAGAGCACTTGCCTTGCATGCCTGAGGCCCTGGGTTCGATTCCTCAGCACCACATAAGCAAAAAGAAAAAAGCCAGAAGTGGCGCTGTGGCTCAAGTGGTAGAGTGCTAGCCTTGAGCTGAAGAGCTGAGGGATAGCACCCAGGCCCAGAGTTCAGGCCCCACGACCGGACCCAAAAAAAAAAAAAAAATCTATTGGAAACTGACTATATATTCTTATAATTAGTAGTTATGATTTGGAGACATTCAGTTTTGAAATATTTGAAGGAAAATAGCTAAAAACATACTTTCACAAATCACTCTTCAAATTGTCAAAGTAATATTGGTAGAATTAAAAAGTGCAAAATTAAGCCTGGTGCCAGTGGCTCACACCTGTAATCCTAGCTACTCAGGAGGCTGAGATCTTAGAATTGTGGTTCAAAGCCAGACTGGGCAGTAAAGTCTGTGAGACTCTTTATCTCCAATTAACCACCAGAAAACTGGAAATAGCCCTGTGGCTCAAGTGGTAGAGTGCTTGCCTTGAGCTAAAGAGCTCAGAGTTCAAGCCCCACATCCAAAAAAAAAAAGTAAAGGAAGTAGAGCTGTGGCTCAAACCTAAGGAGCATACCTCTTGATAATAAAATATATTAACCAACTAGAAATATGTACATGAGGGGCTAGGAAGGTGGCTCAGTAGTAGAGCACTTGTCTTGCATGCCTGAGGCCCTGGGTTCAATTCCTCAGCACCACATAAGAAAAAAGAAAAAAGCCAGAAGTGGCACTGTGGCTCAAGTGGTAGAACACTAGCCTTGAGCTGAAGAGCTGAGGGATAGCGCCCAGGCCCAGAGTTCAGGCCCCACGACTGGACCCAAAAAAAAAAAAGAAAGAAATATGTACATGAATTGTTTTATGGCAATATTGATCATGTTCACATAGTAAGTTATAGGTTAGAGTAAATTCTCATGTCTATAACTTGGTTTTACAATGTTACAGAAAAATGCCAGGTATTCCAGTATAACTTCCTTAAATGCAGTAAAATTTGGAATGAATGAATATTTATAAATATTTATCCCATTTTTAGTAGTTGCACTAATTTTCATTCTTTTAGTTTTTGTACTAGCATTTTTGCATTTCACCTGCTATTGTAGGAATCCTTAGGAGATATGGACCATCCATTTCTGTCTTGGTCTAAAAGAACAACTTATTAGGGAAGAAGGAAAAAAATTACAAAATCCAGGTGAATATATTTTCTTTTCTGCAAGGCCTTTGTACAAGATAAAATCCAAATAAGGATAAAGTCCTGGGTTTCACGAGTTTGTAGTTTCCTATACCTTTGCCTGTCATATGTATCTAGATCTTATACTATAAAAGCTCTGGACAGAATATTATTGACAGTCAAAACCCAAACAGTAGCTGTGCGCTGGTGGCTCACACCTGTAATCCTAGCTACTCAAGAGGCTGAGATCTGAGGATTGCGGTTCTAAGCCATCCAGAGCAGGAAAGTCTGTGAGACTCTCATCTCCAATAAACCACCAGAAAACCAGAAGTGGTGCTATGGCTCAAGTGGTAGAGCACTAGCCTTGAGCTGAAGAGCTGAGGGACAGTGCCCAGGCCCAGAGTTCAAGCCCCAAGACCAACAGAACAAAACAAAAAACCCTGAACAATACCTCTTTTTTTCTTTTTGAGTTGTAAAGTCATTAGCATCCTGAGCTAAGTACCCAATAGCAACCTCACAATATGCCAAAGTTAAAAATAAAAAGCTGAGCATCAGTTACTCACAACTAAAATCATAGTTATTCAGGATGGTGAGATCTGAAAATCATGGTTCAAAACCAAGTCAGAGGGGGTAGAAAGGGGAAGAGATGGTATGGGGAAACAAAGAAGGAGGCAACAATGCTTGATAAGAAATGTACTCACTATCTTGCCCATGTAATTGTAACCCCTCTGTATGGTATTTTCACAATAATTAAAAAAACAAAACAAAACAACCAACTCAGTCAGACAAGAAAGTTCATGAAACTCTTTTTCTTTTTCTTTTTTTTTTTATGTTGGTTGTGGGGCTTGGGTGCTGTCCCTGTGCTCTTCAGCTCAAGGCGAGCACTCTACCGCTTGAGCCACAGTACCAGTTCTGGTTTTCTAGTGGTTTATTGGCGATAAAGAGTCTCACGGACTTTCCTGACCGGGCTGGCTTTGAACTGCGATCCTTAGATCTCAGCCTCCTGAGTAGCCACCTGCGCCTGGCTAAATTCATGAAACTCTTATCTCCAGTTAATCTATGGAATAGCACTAGCCTTAAGCAAAATAACTCTGAGCACACAGGCCCTAAGTTCAAGCCCCAGGACCGGCATGCACACAAAACAGATCTTTTGAAATGATAAAATTAAAGATGATCTTTTCTTCCTGTCTTTAAAATATAACAAATGGGCTGAGAATGTGGCTTAGTGATAGAATGCTTGCCCAACACGCATGAAGCCCTGGTTCGATTCCTCAGTACCACATAAACAGAAAAAGCTAAGTGGCTTTGTGGCTCAAGTGGTAGAGAATAGCCTTAAGCAAAAGAAGTTCACAGACAGTGCCTAAGCCCTGAGTTCAAGCCTCAGGACTGGCAAAAAAAAAAATTAATTTGGGTAAAATTAAATATACTTTAATTAACTTACGGTTTTTTTCTCCAGCAGTACACGTCAGCCTGCTCTTATTTTAAACTTTATTTTTAATGTTTCTCTAATATCCAGGTGGCACAGTGTGTCTCACCAAAGGGACCTCTGGCATGTTCAAGAACATACTTTTTTGGAGCTACTCACATTCCTTACTTGGGTAAATCACCATCTTATCAACTTACCTAATGAATGGTTTCTCCCATGAATGAAAAGATAAGATTTAACTAATTTGCTCAGAAGCTATTGGTACTGATTTGTGGGCCTTAGTTGATCCTCCTTGTTTGCAGCCCAACACATTATTCACAGAATGTATTTCAGGAGAAAAACCATTGATCAGCCTGTAGTGCCAAGGTGTACCCATGCATAGGCCCCATGCTCAGTGTCAGAGGAAAGGCCCCTATGAAAAAGACCTATTTTCAGATAGTAGAAGGTGTGGGTTACTACAAGGTTTCCATTCAGTTGTTCTTGTGATGAAAGTGAAAATAGGCCATACTAAAGGGCACCTAGGAGCTAGGAACTTCTAGAGCCCCACCCAGAAAGGCCAGCCATCCAGAAACTACAGTCCTCCAGAGATATAGAGAAAAATCTAGAAGATGCATGTGGATTCCAGCATTGATACCCAGAGAGGAATACATCAGAAGCCAGAGTTTCTCTTGAGTGTTACTAAATAAGCCAGAAAACTCTGGAAAGAAGCATGACTGGGTCATTTTAAAGTAACTAAGATTAATTAAACAACTGAGTCTAGCTGTAAGATAGGAAAATTATAACATTTATGTTATATCATGTAGCAAGAGTTTAATCAAAAGGAGTCAGAAAAGGCCAGGTACTGGTGGCTCATGCCTGTAATCCTAGTTACTCAGTCGGCTGAGATCTGAGGATTGTGGTTCTAAGCCAACCCTGGAAGGAAAGTCCATGAGACTCTTATATGCAGTTAACCACCAGAAAACCAGAAGTGGTGCTGTGGCTCAAGTAGTAGAGAGCTTGCCTTGAGCTGAGGAGCTCAGGGGCAGCACCCAGGCCCACAACCAAAAAAAAAAAAAAAAAAGCACAAAAAATACAACTAAAAATGATCAGAGCTTAAAATTCTACACATCTTCTCTGGTATTCAATGCTGATGCTGAATGGGTTATAAAATTAAGAATGTCAGGGGTGAAGGTCCAGGAGGCTATTGGGAGAAACCACTGCTGCTTGTACTTGAATTGTATTTAATTTCTAAAAGTACCATCCTTGAAAATGCTTCCAATTAAATCAAGCACTCCTGTACTCTGTCACATTCTTAATGCATGTGTTCTTTCACAGGTGATGATGACAAGCTAACCAAGAATGACAAGCTTCTCAGGAAAACTGAACAAATGTAAATCTTTAAATCTTTATATCTTTTTTTTTTCTTTTTCAAAGTTGAGCTTCTCACTGTGTCTGGTCTGTCTACTTCCTAATGAGCTTGACAGTTAGGACATCTGGCTGTGAGGTGGACATGGTCATGTAGTTTCCCAGGAGATCCCATTGAGGTTGGAGGGCCTTACCAACTTCTCTATCTGCTCCTCTATCCAGAACTCAGAGTTTTTATCTGCACCCCCATGCATTTATATGACATTAATTTCCTCTTTTGTGTGTGTGTGTGTGATGCATTATTTTTATTGGAGGATTTTCCAAAAACAAAACATTTTGAAATCCATTGGCAGAATTTGTGGGAAATCTCATGCAAATTGAGTTTCTCTGAACTCCTGTTTATGGAACATAGCTATGATCTGAATCTTGGCTTTGTAGCCTTAGAAAGTTCATACCTAGCCAGGTGCCGGTAGCTCATACCTATAATCCCAGCTAATCCTAGCTACTCAGGAGGCTGAAATCTGAGGATCACAGTTCAAAGCCGGCCCAGGCAGGAAAGTCCATGAGACTCTTTTCTACAATTAACCACCAGAAAACTGGAAGTGGTGCTGTGGCTCAAGTGATGAGTCCTTACCTCAAGCTGAAGAGCTCAGGGACAATGCCCAAGCCCAGAGTTCAAACCCCATGACTGACAAAAAAAAAAGAGAGAGAGAGAAAGAAAGTTCATACCTAGGGTCTGGGAATATGGCTTAGTGGTAGAGAGCTTGCCTAGCATACATGAAGCCATGGGTTCTATTCCTCAGAAAAAGTCAGAAGTAGCACTGTGGCTCAAGTGATAAGAGTGTTAGCCTTGAGCAAGAAGAAGGTCAGGGACAGATCCCAGGCCCTGAGTTCAAGCCCCAGGACTGGCAAAAAAAGAACATACCTAATGCTGACTCCCTCTTCCCCCCACATTGCATATATTAGGAAACCATATACAGGATATAACTGAATTACAAATTTTCAAAAAGCATTTACATGAATATGATTGAAAACAGAACAATGAAACCAGTTGAAATTGTTGTAAGAGGGGGTGGGGGGAGGCTAGGAAGGGATGTGAAGGGTAAACAAAGGAGGAGGCTGCAATGCTTGATAAGAAATGTACTGATTGTCTTGCCCATGTAATTGTAACCCCTCTGTACAGTATGTTCACAATAAAAATTAAAAATAAAAAAAAATAAATTGTTGTAAGAATGGTAGGTACAGGATAAAGGAGAGTGATAACAGGAGAGGAGATTGATTTGGGATGCATTGTATGTGTTTGTGGAAATGTTAGAATGAAACTGCCCTTATACAATTAATATATATGAATTGAGAAAAGGCATCTTCCTTCAGAAATACAAATACAGTAAGAGCTCTGTTATCACCTGATTATACACCAGAGTAAACTGGTGGGGTCTAGACATGAGCTTCCCAAAGGCCATCAAGGACAGGCCATAAAGAGGCTGGAGGAATGGTTTAATTAGACCACCAGCCTGGCAAGTCCAAGACTCTGATTCAAACCTTATTACTGAAATTAAGGAGGAATGGAAGAAGGGAGAGAAGATGATTTGAAGGTTTCTTCAAAACACAGGTTCCTGGGGCTGGGAAGGTGGCTCAGTGATAGAGCGCTTGCCTTGCATGCCTGAGGCCCTGGGTTCGATTCCTCAGCACCACATAAGCAAAAAGAAAAAAAGCCAGAAGTGGCCCTGTGGCTCAAGTGGTAGAGCGCTAGCCTTGAGCTGAAGAGCTGAGGGATAGCACCCAGGCCCAGAGTTCAGGCCCCACAACCGGACCCCAAAAAAAACAAAAACAAAAAACACAGGTTCCTAGAGCTGAGGGTGATCTAGCTGTGGCACCCATCATCCTATTGATTGCCAGGGGTGATCTGCCTGACTATATAAGTATCCCTTTTTTCCCTAACTGCCCTATATCAATTCTTTCCATCCCTTCTTGCAGCTGTTCTCTGTTGAATGGATGGATGATCTTCTCTAGTAGAGGAGGGCCACTTTTCAGTCTAGGATATGCAAGTAGTTATGCTTCCTGTTAGTTGTGCTGATAGCAGGAGATTACCAAATCATAGACCTAGTAGAACTTGTAACCTGGGGAGTCCTAGTGAAAATGACACCAGTATCACCCTGGTCCTTTGTGTGTGTGTGTGTATGTATGTATGTGTGCCAGTACTGGGACTTGAACTCTATAATGTCTTGCATTCTCAGCTTTTTTTTTTTTGTTCCCGGTTGGTACTCTACCAATTGAGCCATGCCTCCAGTTCTGGCTTTTTACTGGTTAATTGAAGATAAGTGTCTTTTGGATTTATCTTCCATGGCTGACTTCAAAAACCTGCATCCTCAGATGTTAGCCTCCTGAGTAGCTAGAATTGTAGTTGACCCATTTGGGGGTAGAGAGGTAGGCATTAGCTTGTGTATTGAGCTCTTATCTAATAATCTGTATAGACACTAAAGCAAAGGGAAGGCTGACCAGTGTAGATTGAGTGATGTTTGAATCAAACTAGAGAGGAGATATCTTTACATTTTGGGGGATTAGCGTTCATACTTAACCCCAATATCATGGTGTGAAAAGTCTTCTGGTCTCACCTGGAAGCGGACTGAAAACTCATTGGCAGTTTCCTCACCAGGCCCCTTCCTATCAAGCATACTTTGTGCCCCTGGCCTGGTGAACAGAATTCAGGATATAATGATCCATGAAGCTGCTAATCTGAGATTAATTGAATTTAGCTTTTCAGTCTCTCTTAAATAAGGTCTCCAGCCCTGAAATCACAGTAACAGCCAGCTTTTAGCAGGTCTGGTTAGGAGAGGACATACGGTATGATGGCTCTTGGAAAAACTGCAGGTCAGTATCGTATACTGAAGGAATTTTTGGTCTGTAGGTAGTGGTTCCAGGCCTGCTCTTTAGCTCTTTTGCTCAAGGCTAGTGCCTTCCACTTGAGCCACAACTCTACTTCCAGCTTTTTGTGGTTAATTGTAGATAAAAGTCTCATATACTTTTCCTGCCAGGGCTGATTTTGAACTGCAACCCTCAGATCTCAGCCTTCTAAGTAGCCAGGATTATAAGCATGAGCCACCAGTTCCAAGCAAGACTACCAGTTTTATTCTCTTTGTTTACAGAATTGGTCCTTTGAGCCAAACTCAGAGGAGCTGACTTTTTTTAAGGTAATTTAACAAGAGCAAAGTATAAATCAAATAGGCATAAGACTTTAAAAAGCGTTAAAGTTTAGAGTTGCTTTTTTCAATAAGTTCCTTTTTTCGATGAATCCTTTTTTCATTTTTTTCAGTCTTTTAAATTGGGGGATTATCATTTATATGCATGCAGCTTTTGATGAAACCTTGTGTTACTGTAGTTAATCATTATTTTTTGCTTTTAAAGTAGGCTCTTGTCCCAGATATATGCTGCTGTTATTGAGGCTGTTTTGGCTGGCATTGCATGTTACACTAAAACTTCCAGCCTAACAAAGGTAATTTAAATTTCCTTTTCTGTAATCATTATTTTCATTGTTTTTTCTTAAGACACCTTGAAGTGTTTAAAGAACGTTTGTGTGGCACCAGCAAATTGCTTATAGAGCACTAAATTTCTGCTGCCTTTGGCCAGCTGCTGTTTTTTGACAAGTGACAGCTAATCAGCATGTCTTTGTAAATACCTGTTCTGTTAAAGAAAAGTCATTATCTTGTTAATATTTAAACAAACTGCTTTTAGAAGTTAAAGAACCGTGAATCTTAACAAAGTTAGGTAAGTTTGTTTTGAGTTTGGTTTTCTATAATCCAGTGTTTTTTAAAAAATCAAGTACAAACTTGAAAATCTGACTTGCCTTTCCTAGACAATCGCACGCATTTTCACTTTCTGACCATTTTCTTCCTTGCTGTTTTGCGGTTAACCTGCCCTGCTGAGTTGGATTCCTAAATCTGACCCAGTAAGGAGATGAGAAGAGTCGGCTTGATGCCTCCCAATGCCAATAGGACCTTTCCTGAAAGAAGCCAGTTGACATTGGAAAGGTTGTGTATGATGTAGATATCAGAGAGACTGTAGCTGTAGACACCAGCTCCTTGTCATTTCCCCTCCTTACTGAATTGAATCTTAGACTTGTACAAAGCCATGGGACTTCAACATCACTTCTCACACTGTTTTCTAACTTATCTTCTGTAACTCTAGCAGTTTGAATCTTCTTAGCCTCTAGCAGAGACTGAGGGCAGTGTTCCCTTCCTCAAAGATAATGGAAGGGGTAGGAAAAAGCATTTCCTAGACCTCACATGTCACTTGCACCATTCTAGCTCCTTACTTCTCTCCAGGAGTTTTTCCCATGAACCCAGCCTGAAGAAAGCACCTGTTTTCCTTAACCTGATGCTTTCACTTTAATTTCCTGATGTGTACAAAGTAGTCATGTAGAAGAGAAGGGCATTGGCCATCTGTTAGAAGTGTTTTTCCTATCAGTAGTATGTGTACTTTTTGCTGCTTGAAAACTGACTCTGATTTTATATTATTTTTTTTACAGGCCAAGGAAGAAGCAGAGCAGATTCTGGGATCTGGGTTAGATTCCTTTGAGTTGATTCAGTTTAAGGCAGCCCTCCGGTAAGCAATGACTAGGTCTTTTATAAGGAACTTTTTTATATTTAAAAAAAGAATCTTCTTCACTTTTGTAATTTATATTTCATCTTCCATTTGAGAAATGTTCCAGTAAAATAATGAGATGTGTGAAGGAGATCATTCCTGATTAAACCTTTGAGAAGCTAAGATGTTAAGGATAGAGGAACTATATGAGGAAGTTAGAGGCTAGCATGTGAGGCAGCCCTGAGAACTTGTACAGAAGCAGACCTGGCTCCTCCGTACCTGATGGCATGGGACCCCAGGAAAAGTGCTTAAATTAACTAAATCACTCTCACTGGGTGGCTTGAAAGTATAGGGCAGGGGGACTGTGGATGTGGCTTAGTGGTAGAGTGCTTACCTACCATGCATGAAACCCTGGGTTCAATTTCTCAGTATCATATAAACAAAAAACTCAAAGTGGCACCATGGCTCAAGTGGTAGAGTACTATCCTTGAGCAAAAGAAGCTCAGGGACAGTGTCCAGGCCTTGAGTTCAAGCCCCAGGACTGGCCAAAAAAAAAAAAAAAAGTGTAGGCCAGATAGAGTATAGAAGTAAATGTCTGAGAGGATTCTAACCCAGTAGTCAGCAAGAGAAGTCTGATTTCTGTTTTGTTTCCTTTTTGGTTTGTAGCTCCAAGACAGCTTTTCATATACATGCTGTGAATAACCAGGGAAGGTAAGTGTATGGTGTGGTGCCTCCTCACATGAGGCAAGTTGAGCATAAAGGGAGGAGAGGCTTAGTGGTGCATACCTATAATCCCAGCACTGAGGCTGAGGTCAGAGATCATGAATTCAAGCCTGGCCTGGAATACAGAGCAAGACCTCGCTCAGAAAAATAAAAAATAGGGGCTAGGAATGTGGGTTAGTAGTAGAGTATTTGCTTAGCATGGATTAAGCCCTAGGTTCAATTCCTCAGTACCATATACACCAAAAAAGCTGGAAGTGGTGCTGTGGCTCAAGTGGTAGAGTGCTAGCCTTAAACAGATGAAGCTCATGGACAGTACCCCAGGCCCTGAGTTCAAGCCCCAGGACTGGGAAAAAAAACAGAAAAGAGAGAGAGAGCAGCTCAGGGACAGTGTCTTGTCCCTGAATTCAAGCCCCAGGACCCGCACCAAAAAAAGAAAGAAAATAAAAATAACAAGTGAAGGAGAGAGGACCCCCACAAAGATCACTTCAGGCTTGGGCTCAGGCTGGCTGTACTCAGGTAAGCCCCCATACCTTCAGGACTTCCACAGAAAGCTTAGGGGCAGAGGTCAGGACATATTCACTTCAGTGACTATATAACTTCAGTGACTAATTCTGCACATGCAGTCCAAGGTTAAAAATCTCTGAGAAAAAAGTTGTTGCCATTAAAAAAAAGATGGGTGCCGATGGCTCATGCCTGTAATCCTAGCTACTCAGGAGGCTAAGAGCTGAGGATTGTGGTTCAAAGCCAGCCCAGACAGGAAAGTCTTTACCTCCAGTTAATCACCAGAAAACCAGAAGTGGTGCTGTAGCTCAAGCATTCGCCTCAAGCATTAAGCTGAAGAGCTGAGGGACAGCACCCAGGCCCATAGTTCAAGCCCCAGGACTGACAAAAAAAAAAAAAGATTGTGAATTTCAGTCCAGTTAGAAATCCTTTAATGTCTTTCTCTCATTTCTTTACTCTTCTAGAATTGTGCCTCTGGACAATGAAGATAGCTTATTCTTTGTGAAAACGGTAAGCAGAGCTTTTGTGAGTCAGCTGGTTAAGAATGGCTTGTAGAAGGATATCTATAAGCAGTAAAGTGGAAGTAGGTGGGAGGTCTCCAAGGAGCTGAGATTGTGCTGTCCTTGTGTGAAAATATGAGCTAGGACAAGCCTGCCTTGACCAACAGACCAAGCTTTCAACAATTGTTTCTTTGCATTCCAAGTCCATAGATAGTTGTCTTTTTTTTGGGGGGGGGGGGTTGTCAGTCATGGGGCTTGAACTATGGACCTGAGCGCTGTCCCTCAGCTCTTCAGCTCAGGGCTAGCACTTTACCACTGAGCCACAGCGCCACTTCTGGTTTTCTGGTAGTTAATAGGAGATAAGAGTCTCACGGACTTTTCTTGCCAGGGTTGGTTTTGAACCGTGATCCTCAGATCTTAGCCCCCTGGTAGCCAGGATTACAGGCATGAGCTACCAGCACCTGGCCTGCATTAATATCTTTTTAACAGAGACTTAGATTCATTAATTGAACAATCCTGAGAGACCTAGGTGGTCTCCAACAACATGGGGTAGAGCTCCAGCGATAGAGCTTTCTATCCTGTGTGCTGGAGCCATACTAATGGGCCAGAGTGAAGGTTTAGAGGCATACTGAGGATTATTGGTTCCTTTTTGTTTGTTTGCAAAGTCTGTTCATGGGACAGACAGTCAAGTCATGGGACTTGAAATCAAGGTCTGGGTACTGTTCCTGTGTTCTTTTGCTCAAGACTAGTGTTCTACCATTTTGAGCCACAGTGCCACTTCTGGTTTTCTGACTAACTTTTCTGCCTAGGCTGGCTTTTTTTTTTCTTTATTTTTTTTGTCGGTCGTGGGGCTTGAACTCTGGGCTTGGGGCACTGTCCCTTTGCTCTTCAGCTCAAGGCAAGCACTCTTCCGCTTTAGCTACAGTGCCACTTCCGGTTTTCTAATGGTTCATTGGAGATAAGAGTCTCACGGACTTTCCTGCCCGGGCTGGCTTTGAACCAAGATTCTCAGATCTCAGCCTCCTGAGTAGCTAGGATTATAGGCATGACCCACCAGCGTCCTGTTCCTGGGCTGGCTTTGAACTGTAGTCAGACGTGAGCCACCAATACCCAGCTGAGATAATGGTCCTTGAAGTAGATCCTTGAGATATTGGTCCCTGGAGATAGCATGGTCCTAGGGGAGCCAGTTTGTAGGCCAGTTGCAGCTGCACCCAGTGCACACTGATATGAAGACAGTTGATAAACAATTTATGAGAAGATACTGAATATCAAATGTTCTGTTTGTTGTGTGTATACACACAAATTTGACCTTGAGTGTGTCCTATGACTACTGCCTAAGCCCTAATTTCAGCAGGCTTTGGTCATGAGAAACTAGGTGGGCAGCTATGGATGACTTGCATTCCCATCACCAGAGGAAAGCATCACAAGTTCCTGTCAATAATGTTATCTATGGAGAATAGTACAAATGTCATTTTTTAAGGTTATAAGTAATGAATGCTTTATAATACACCCACTTGTTAACATTTTGTGTTGATATTGTTTTAGAGCTAATTAGACTTTTTGGTGACATAATTAAGATCTATTCTTCGATAGTTAGGTGATAATAATACTTGCTAAAGTCTAAACCCCCAACTTCTGTTTAGTATTTTGGAAAGTATTTTGGTCAATAATAGGTGATTACAAATCCAGAACCTCCACTGAATGCTTAAAACTTCAGATAGTATCAAATCCTTTATCTACTATATTTTTCTTATATATACATACTTATGGTAAAGTTTAATTTATAAATTAGGTACAGTAAAAGATTAGTAACAATTTGTTACAATACATTGCCAGTATCATTAATTTTGTGTTTGAGGGCCATTATTAAAGTAAAATAAGGAAAACTGTCACCCAGTTATAGTTTAACTATTGGAAAACAAAATTATAAGTTATAAAACAAAAGTATATTATAAACTCTTTTTTAAAAAAAGAGAAAAAGAATCCGGGTGCCAGTGGCTCACACCTATAATCCTAGCTACTCAGGAGGTTGAGATCTGAGGATCATGGTTCAAAGCCAGCCCAGGCAGGAAAGTCCATGAGACTTTTATCTCCAATTAACCACCAGAAAATCAGAAGTAGTGCTGTGGCTCAAGTGGTAGAGTGCTAGCCTTGAGCTGAAGAGCTGAGGGACAGTGCCCAGGCCCAGAGTTCAAGCCCCAAGACCGACAAAAAAAGAGAGAGAGAAAAGGAGTTACATGGTGGTACAAGTTTATAATCCAAGCTACTCAGAAGGTGGAGGCAGGAGGATTATGAGTTTGAGACAAACCCAGGCAAAGTTACCTTTGAGACCTAATCTCAAAACAAAAACAAAAGTGCTAGGGGCAAAATCAAGTGGTAGAGTAGGAACCTAGCAAGCATGAGGGCATTATCAGTACAAGGCAGGAATTTAAAAAGGCCCTTACTTGGGCTGGGAAGGTGACTCAGTGGTAGAGCCCTTGCCTTGTATGCATGAGGCCCTGGGTTCGACCTCAGCACCACATAAACAGAAAAAAAAAAAAAGCCGGAAGTGATACTGGGGCTCAAGTGATAGAGCACTAGCCTTGAGCTGAAGAGCTGAGGGATAGCTCCCAGGCCCAGAGTTTAGGCCCCACAACCAGACCCAAAAAAAAAAGGCTCTTACTTGAATGAATACTATGACACTAGTCCAGTTGGTAACCAAGATGGTTATTAAGTGACTCACAGTGTAGATGTGTTGGACAAAGGAATGGTTCATATCCCCACCAGGATGGAATACAGTAGATAATATATTCCAACGCACTGCTTGGAATGCTGCACAGTTTAAAACTCATGCTTTGCTTATTTCTGGAATTATATGTGTGTGTGTGTGTGTGTGTGTGTGTGTGTGTGTGTGTGTGTGTGTGTGTGTGTGTGTGTGTGTGTGCGCGCGCGCGTGCACACACACGCGCGCGCTTGTCCTGGGGCTTGAATGCAGAGCCTGGGCACCTTCCCCCAAAGCCCTGCTCAAGGTTAATGCACTTAAGCCACAGTTTTTTCGGTAGTTTTAATGAAGATAAGAGTCTCACAGACTTTCCTGCCCAGGCTGGCTTTGAACTTAACTTCTCAGCCTCTTGAGTAGCTAGGATTACAGTAGTAAGCCACTGGTGCCCAGCTGGAAATCAATATTTTGGAGCTAACTGCAGTCAGTGATACCATAGGTAAGGAGGATTAGAAGGAACATTAGCAGATATAGACATGTACGCATAAATATCCACAAAGACGTGTCACCAAGTAAATAACTACCTTTCCAGTCTTGTTCAGAACCCCAGCCTAAACCTAACAAGGAGTTAAGAGTATGAAGTATATATATGTACAGAAGCCTATAAGAAATACCTCCAACTCTGATAAGCCAGTCATAGTTAAGAATGAAGGCTGTATTGTCTCTTAGAGGGAGAACAATTTGAGGGAATTTATAGGAACATAAAGATGCTGTCCTTCTAGCCTAAATATGTCTCTGATGCACTGGGCACTAGTGGCTCATGCCTGTAATCCTTACTACTCAAGAGGCTGAGATTGAGGATCATGACTTAAAACCTGCCTGGGGGAGCTGGGAAGGTGGCTCAGTGGTAGAGCACTTGCCTTGCATGCATGAGGCCCTCAACACCACATAAGCAGAAAAAGCCAGAAGTGGCGCTGTGGCTCAAGTGGTAGAGTGCTAGCCTTGAGCTGAAGAGCTGAGGGACAGCGCCCAGGCCCAGAGTTCAGGCCCCATGACCAGACTCCTCTCCCCTCAAAAACAAAACAAAACAAAAAAAAACCTGCCTGGGCATGAAAGTCCATGAGACTCTTACCTCCAGTTAACCACCAAAAATCCAGAAATAGGGCTGTGGCTCTAGTGGTAGAGTACTAGCCTGAAACAAAAAAAAGCTCAGGGACAGTGTCCAGGCCCTGAGTTGAAGCTCCAGTGTGGCACAAATATGTCTCTGATGAAGGAGCAATTGCAGGGAAGCCTGGGTGATTTTGAAATATCTCTCAGTTCAGAGGTTTTTCAGTATAGCTCGGTTTTCCCTACAAACTACATAGTAAGCGGCTTTGTGCTGCTTTAAGGTAGTATTTTGTTATGTTTGTTTTTTTTTTCTTTTTTTGTTGTCAGTCCTGGAGCTTGAACTCAGGGCCTCTGCACTGTTCCTGAGCTTCTTTTGCTCAAGGCTTTTGTTCTACCACTTGAGCCACAGCACCACTTCCAGCCTTTTCTGTTTTTGTGATACTGAGGAACCAAATCCAGAGCTTCATGCATGCTGGGCAAGCACTCTACCACTAAGCCACATTCCCAGCCCTGTTATGTTTCTTAAGCATCTTTCTCAAGAGGTACTTGACTGATAACTGATCTTACTCTGTTTTTTCATTTACTATAGGCTTGTATGACTGTCTATGACATTCCTGATTTGCTGAGAGGAAGAGGGTGCTTAGGATCTGTGGTCTTCTCAGAATCATTTTTGACATCTCAGATCTTGGTTAAAGAAAAGGGTAAGTTGGGCTGGGAAGGTAGGTCAGTGGTAGAGTGCTTGCCTTGCATGCATGAGGTCCTGGGTTTGATTCCTCAGCACCACATAAGCAGAAAAAGCCAGAATTGGAGCTGTGGCTCAAAGTGGTAGAGCACTAGCTTTGAGCTGAGGAGTTGAGGGACAGCATCCAGGCCCAGAGTTCAGGCCCCACAACTGACTCCCCCCCCCAAAAAAAAGAAAGAAAATAAGAGGGTAAGTCTTTGGAGATCAAACCTTGAAACTTTGGCAGGGGGGAGCAAAATAAACCGTAAACTAAGGCAAAAGACCAGCATAAATTGGTGGAAATATTAGAATCCCTATGATAAAATAGTAGTATAATAATTAATGAAAAACTCTTATAATTTAATAAGAAAAAAATGTATCCTACTCAATGGTAATATGACAAAAATATAAACATGCCAATTGCAGAAATGGAAAATAAAAATATAGGGAGGAAAGGGATAGTAGGGGAAAAACAAAGGAGGAAACCATGCTTGATAGAAAATATACTCACTTTACTAGCTGTAACCCCTCTGTACACTATTTTTACAATTAAAAAAACATAAAAAGCTGAGTGCCGGTGTCTCACTCCTATAATCCTAGCTACTCCGGAGACTGAGATCTGAGGACCACAGTTCAAAGCCAGCTAGGGCAGGAAAGTCTGTGAGACTCTTATCTCCAATAAAAAACTCTAGAAAACCGGAAGTGGCACTGTGGCTCAAGCAGTAGAGTGCTCGCCTTGAACTGAAGAGCACAGGGACAGCGCCCAAGCCCAGAGTTCAAGCCCCTCAACTGACCCAAAAAAAAAAAAACATAAAAATATAAGGAGGGACAGATATATATGAAAATATGTAGCTTTAGTGGTAATTAAGATGAAACATTTTGTAACAATAGTTAGATACAATTTGTTACCCATTATGTTGGCCAAAAACTTTAAAGAATGATATCCAGTGCTGGGAAGATGATCCTGATAATTTCAAGTTGGTTTTAATAAGTGTATTTTGTAGTACCTGTAATTACCTAGATAAAAATGAAAAGTAAGCTAAATTGGGCATGATGGCACATGCTATAATCCTCCACTCCAGAGTCAGATGGATCCCAAATTTGATGCCTGTCTTGAGTGAGACCCTATCTCAAAAAAAGGGAGGAAGACTGGATGAGGGCTAGAGGCCCTGGGTTTAATTCCCAGCACTACAAAAAAGAAAAAGGAAAGGAAAAAAGTAAGACTAATTTCTGCAACTCTTAAGTGTAGGTTTCTATTTGTTCCGAAAAATACCCAAGTTAATTACAAGGGGAAACTATTCTTCCATCTTCCCATTAGTCTCTCTGTCTCCAGATAAAGTTCCTATTTTCTAAGGACATTGGACTGTGCTAGTAAGAGAAGTCCTTGATCTTGAGAAGCAAGGGATCTAAATGTCTGTGGGATAATGGTTGGGAATAACTGACATGTCTGTGGTCTTCCTACAGATGGCACTGTTGCCACAGAGACCAGCTACATAGTCTTGACAGCCGCCATACCCCGATTCTGCTCCTGGCTGGTCAGTATCATCTGTAAAAGTAGGCCCATATGTAAATGTGGGGAGGACTTTGGGCAAAAGCTGCTTTGTGGGCTTCCTAGTAGGCTTTATGTCAGTGAATCTCAATTCTTTAATTTTCTCACAATCTTAGAAAATTCTTCACCCTTCCTCCCCTCCCCCCAAAAAAGCTTTATTATCTGTTAAGTGATGCAAGGAAGCAGTTAACCCTTCATATAATAGATGAAGATACTGTGCCTTAGAAGCTAATAATATCTAGGGAATACATTCTAAGTCCCTGAGTGACCTACCAGTCCAAGGTCACACAGATCTTGAGAAGTGGCTCCTGTGGCTCGCTTTTCCAGGCAGAATGATTGCTGCTGAGATGTCTCTCTCCTTGTAGAAGTGTCCCATTTCCACAGTAGGAAGTGGGATATAGAAACCATGATAGCAAGAGTATGATATTTAAAAGTCTAAGTACCTATTTTAGAATCTGTTTATACTGTTTTCCACTAGCCACACTGGAACTGTAGAAACAAAAAGTTATCCTTATCCTCTGACATGAATGTATTTAAATAAGAACACACTTTAAAAAATAGTTTAAGGGCCAGGAAGTGGCTTTGCGGTAGAGTGTTTGCCTAGCATGCATGAAGCCCTGCATTCGATTTCTCAGTACCTCATAAACAGAAAATGCTGGAAGTGATGCTATGGCTCAAGTGGTACAATGCTAGCTTTGAACAAAGGAAGCTCAAGGACAGTGCCCAAGCCCTGGGCCCTGGAAAAAAAAAAGTTTAGACTAGGTATCAGTGACTCATGCCTGAAATCCTAGCTACTTAGGAGTCTGATATCTGAGGATTAAGGTTCAAAGCCATCCTGGGCAGAAAAGTCTAGTCTATGGGATGTTTATCTTAATAAAATTACCAAATAAGAAAAAGAAGTAGAACTGTGGCTCAAGTGGCAGAGCACTAGCCTTGAGCAAAAAAAAGCTCAGGGACAGTGTCCAGACCAAGTTCAACCCCCAGGATTGCACACACACATACAAAAAGTTTAGTGTGTGCTTATTTCTTCATCCTTAAACAGAATTGTTGTTTTCCTTCTGAAATGGCATGTAAGTGGAGATTAACAAACATTCTCTCCATGGCCCATTAGCTGGATTAAGGTGCCAAGGGAGAGTCTACTATGTTCCAGGGCTCTGTGCCTTACTAACCAGCAGCCACCTCTATTAGCCTATCAGAGCCTGAGAATACTGGACATGGTGGAGGGAGTTTTAAATCATTCTCTTGGGAGATATATGAACACAGTGAGGAGAACTAGCAAGCTCTATCCTTGGAGTAGGAAACTGAAAAGCTGCATTTCTGTTGGACACAGGTAGAAGATGATGATGTAAAATTGTCTGAGAAAACCCAACAAGCAATGAGGGTAAGCAGCCTTCTCATCCCTGGTATTAACATCATTATCAGCATAAAACAAGTAATTCATAAAGGTAATATTTCACCTTAACTGCTATGCTAAGGGATTTGTACTTCTTTATCTTGGATTCCAATTTGCACTTCCCCCTTCCTAGCAGGCTTTTGGAAATAAACAATTCTGAAGGATAGAATTAGATGGATTTCTTTTGCCATTTAGACCTTTCATTGTTTTCAGATCTGAGACAGGGCTTGACCTAGACATGTAGAGCTAAATGTAAAGGCTTTAAGCCAAGGAAAAACTGAATTTTTCACAGAAAAAATTAAATCCACTAGAACATGAATAAGTATCACAGGTTCCGATGACAGGACTGGGAGAGGACCTTGATATTTCCTTTTCTCAGCATGTATCAGGGATGTCAGTTACATGACAAAAAGCCAGGCAATGCTGAAGGCCATGGAATAAGTTGGGCATATTTGAGTCTGACTCAACCTTTTAGACAGGTAAAACTAGGCAAGACTTTTTATTCTGTGAGTATTTATACTGTAAATCATCTCTTCTTTTGTTGTTAATGTTTTTAAAGGGTGATGAGTGTTTCCTGGGAAGTTTTCTAACAGAAGGAGAGGGAGTATATCTTTATTCTAGTAGTCTGCAGTCCTGGCCTGAGGAAGGTAAGTAGCTGTGACTTCTGTTCACTCTGTCTGTGTCCTTGGATTGCAGATACTGGCATGGGTGTTGTGATTAATCATACATCTGTTATTTGAAAAGACTTGTTATTAAAGAATTGTTTTCTTATAGCTTTTCTCCTTTGACCTACCCACTTTGTGGATGAGGAAACTTGGGTTGGGTTCACAAGCAAAAGGGTTAGTCCCAGAACTGTACCTGGACTTCTTGTTGCTGCCTGAAATTTTTTCTCAGAATGTGCTTAAACAGCAGCATTTTCAGAAATAGAGTCTCTAATCCTAAACAATTCTAGTTTTTTTCTATTGCTGTATAACAAATTACCGCTAATTTAGTAGTTTAAAACACTTGTTACCTTGGGTTGGGAATTTGGTTTAGTGGTAGAGTGCTTGCCTAGCATGCATGAAGCCCTGGGTTTGATTCCTCAGTTCCACATAAACAGAAAAGGCCAGAAGTGGTACTATGGCTCAAGTGGTAAAGTGCCAGCCTTGAGCAAAAGAAGCTCAAGGACAGTGCCCTGGCCCTAAATTCAAGCCCTAAGACTGGCATACAACAACAACAACAACAAAAAACACTTGTTACCTCATCATTCTGCAAGTCAGAAGTCCAGGTATGCTTGTCTGGATCTATGGTTTCATGAGGCAAAAGTCAAGGATCAGACAGACTAGGGCTAGAGGCTGTACTCCCAAGCTTTTCCAGGTTGTTGGTTTGCTGATTTCTTCTGCTTATAAGACTGAGACTCCCATTTGGTTGCAGGTTGCCAGGTAGGAACTGTACTCAGCTCTTCCTTTCAGAGGTCCTTCCCTGAAACCCTCTCTAACTCAACAATCAAAAACCTTCCATGTGTTGAATTTATCTCATACTAATGTACTTTCTGGCCCCTTGATTCACATCCTTTTTCAATATACAAAATACAGTCACTCATGCCCCAGGGTCTCATCTCATAACTGTAGCAACTTAGATTCCTACATCACATGAGCTCCAATATGCTGAATGCCATCATGAAGACCATAACCCATTGTAGATGAGGTTCTGGATTATAGTACACTGTTGAATGTAGTTCCTAAACACAATTTTTCTCCCTGTCTGTATGCCAGTGAAGCTATGAACTAAGTTAATTACCCCCAGCTTTCCAAACATAGGACAATATGGGACCAGAATAGGATAATAGATAGTTCTTAGCTTCAGGTTCAAACACAAGAAAAAATGGAAGTGAAAAAGGGGTCAACAGACTAAGGAGATTTGAATCCAGCTTGGCATATTAATTCCTTGATGAAGGTCAAGAACTGGAAATGATCTGTGGCTGGCTGGTAGCTCTGTCCTCTGGGCTCTTGGTTCTGTTAGCTGTGACTTCCTAGAGTTGCCCGCCACCTTTCAGATCAGCCTTCTGAGTTGCCTTCCCTTTCTATGAAAGGTAGTAGTTTCTTGATTAGGACTTATCACCTGGAAATGTCCTGCCCCCTTGGCTCTTGAGTTTCAACTCTGAGCTCTGGATTTCAACTCTAGGCTTATGACTCTGCCTTCTGGATTTCTGGCCACACCTCTTGTATCCTTTTCAGCAAAAAAGAGCACCCGGTTTGTAGCTTAATTTAAAAATCGAACTCTGAGAAATCAACAGACTCCCTTCATTTTGTATACTTTCTGTCCTCTCAATCCAGTTGTCAGCGTTTGTGCTGATAGAACATTCAAGAACCTTTGGATCTTATTATATGGATATGATGGGGGTTTGCTCCATGTTGCTTTTAGGTCTCCTTAAAGTAACGGGGGCGGAGGAGGGGAGAGAGAAAGAGAGAAGGAGGGGGAAGAGAGAGAGACAGGCAGAGAGAGACAGGGAGAGAGAGAATGTGAGTTTTGCTGAGGATCCAACCCAAGGCCTCACAGGCAAGCACTGCACCACTGAGCAGCACACCAAACCCCAAAATAAGACTTTCATGTGATCCTGTTCTTTCCCTGTTGCAAATAGCTTTTGTGCGGAGGAAGAGCTCTGACTTCACAAATTCCTCAACCTCCACTAAGCAAATCCTCTTTCTGGATGATTTGTTCTCATTGAAAATGTTCTAGCTGGTGGCAAATTCCTCTCCTTTTTCTCAGATCACTGGTTCAGCTTCTCCATTCACATAGAAGACATGCACAAGGAGGTCTGCCTTTCAACCCACAGAGTGCTGGGGGTGGTAACAGCATCTGTTAGCACGCCTTTGTCCTTCATTTCTGCTCCTCCAGATCTCAGTGCAGAAGAGCTGGAAATTAAGAACATTTGTGGAAGTCATGCAGTGTGTGACAATGCCACCAACAAGATTGTTTGTATATATTTTGCTTTTTGTTTTATTTTTTGTTTTCATTTTTATTAGAGTAGAGTGATTACACAAAGGGGTTTCACTGCACTATTTCCATACATGTGTATAGTGTACTTTGACTAAATTCACCCCTTCTGTTATTTCACACACACACCTCCCCCCATCCCATCTCCCCTCTTTGCATACCTTGCATAGTGTTCTATTTATTTATCCCATTACTGAGGCTTGAATTTAGGATCTGGAGCTTTTACTTGCTTTTTTTCTCAAAGCTGGTACTCTGCCACTTGTACCACACCTCCACCACTTGCATAGTTTTGATAGCAGGCACAACAGCAAAAATACTTGCCAAAATTAGTCTGTACCTTCTTAGCAAAGGATGTGTTAGAAAATTAATCTTGCATTTTACTGAGTTTGCAAGATTCAGTATAGCCTAGGTCTCTGTAAAATAATAATAATGTAACTAGTCACTGATAGCTGCTAGCCCAGGCAGAAAAGTCTGTGGGACTTATACCCAAGTAACCATCCAAATAATAATTTTTTAAAGGTGCAATTATTTATAAGATCTTATTAGTCCCTGTGTGTGTTTGTATGTGTGTTTTGCTAGGTATTGAGCCAAAAGCCTCCACCACTGAGCTACATACTTCAGCCCTAAAATTCTACTTTCATGTGAGTTCTCAGCACTTGCCTATTAGGCAACTGTTCTGCCACTTAGCCACATTGTTAGCCTAGTCACATTGTTTTAAGAGCTTAAATATCAAACATTCTTAGTTCTTGAGATAGATTCATTTTTCTGAGGCAGGAGAATTCAATAGATAGAAATTTAAACAGGAGGGGCTAGGAAGGTGGCTCAGTGGTAGAGTGCTTGCCTTGCATACATGAGGCCCTGGGTTTGATTCCTTACCACCACATAAGCAGAAAAAGCGGGAAATGGCTCTGTGGCTGAAGTGGTAGAGCACTAGCCTTGAGCTGAAGAGCTGAGGGAGAGTGCCCAGGCCCAGAGTTCAGGCCCCATGACTGACGGGAAAAAAAAGAAATTTAAACAGGAAGCCAGGTGCTGGTGGCTTACATCTGTAATCCTAGCTACTCAGGAAGCTGAGATCTGAGGATTGTATTTCAATCCCCATGAAACTGTTTTTGTTTTTTATTTGTTTGGTTGGTTGGTCCTGGTACTTGAATGCTGGGCCTGGGCATTGTCCCTTAGCTCTTCAGCTCTAGGTTAGTGCTCTACCACTTGGGCCACAGCATCACTTCTGGTTTTCTGGTGGTTTATTGGAGATAAGAATATCACTGAGGTTCTTGCCCAGGCTAGCTTTGAATTTAGATCCTCAGATCTCAACCTCCTGAGTGGCTAGGATTATAGGCGTGAGCCACAGGCGCCTGGCTCCCCAAGAGACTCTTACCTCCAATTAACCACTCAAAAAGCAGAAGGGAGACTGTATCCTCGAGCAGAAGAGCTCAGGGATAGCACCCAGGCCGTGAGTTCAAGTCCCATGACTGACAAAAAATATATAGAAATTTAAACAGGAATCTTCTCATTCATTGTATTAAGTATTTTGCCTCTTCAGGGCTCACAAAGACTAACCTAAGTCATGAGCCTTAGAATTTAGGGGCTCATTTAGAAGAAAGTAATAAAAATAGTTAAATTTTTTCTTAGGCTTTGGAAGTAGGCTTGGATAGTTGAAGGGTCCTGAAATTTAGGTGTCATTACTGTCTTGATAAATCTGCCTCTATTTGCATTAGATGATTAGTTAGAAATTGATGTTTTCCCATTCCTGAAAATATTTATCTTGAGCTTCTCAGTATATATTGTCTTGATTGATGCTTCAAGTCCTGAACCCCGTAGAAGAAATGAAAACTGGTTAGGTGCCGGAGGCTCACGCCTGTAATCCTAGCTACTCAGGAGGCTGAAATCTGAGGATCTCGGTTCAAAGCCAACCAGGGCAGGAAAGTCCGTAAGACTCTTATCTCCAATAAACCACTAGAAAACCAGAAGTGGCGCTGTGGCTCCAGCAGTAGAGCACTCGCCACAAGCTGAAGAGCGCAAGGACAGCACCCAAGCCCAGAGTTCAAGCCCCACGACCGACAAAAAAGAAAGAAAGAAAACTGGCCAGATTACAGTGCCAGTTAACAGCAGCATCTACCTTCCAGGATTCTCCAGATCTGGGGAGTAGTGCAGGCCTTCTGACTTTCTCCTCCAGAGTAGTTATGGGTGAGCATAGTTCTTCCTTCCCCTTGAAATTCTTCCAGCTCCAGAACTTTTTCTTTCCTAGTCAGTGGCTTCTGCTATCATAAGACTTCTTGCTATTCAGCTTCCCATTCATTTATGTCCTTGAGATGCCCTCTCCACCCTGCTGACAAGCCAGAGAAGCTGCCCATTACCTAATCCTTCAGAATTTGCTTTAGAGTTTTACCACACAAGCCCATATCCCTATACAGTCCTGTTTTGTACTTAATCCAAATAGACTCACATTGTGTTTGTTCTTCTTGGACTTGCTTTATATTTAATTATATATTTCTAGGATTCATCCAGATTATGTAGTATTTGGGCATCACACAGAATTACAATAGGAATTAGCAGGGCTATAGTAAACTATGAATGTATGGAAGAAGACTAAAAAGAAGTTTCTAAAGATAAAAATGAAAAAGATCAAATCATCTAGTTTTAAGCAATCTTTGCCCACAGTAATTAAAAACAAGAATGGTTATCAGCTGATTGAATAGACATTGCTAGGAAGATACCTTTGTAGATGTATTTAATCTCCCAATTTTTTTTTGGGGGGGGGGTCGGCCATGGGGCTTGAACTCTGAGCCTTGGCGCTCAAAGAAAGCACTCTACCGCTTGAGCTACAGCTCCACTTCTAGTTTTCTAGTGGTTTATTGGAGATAAGAGTCTCACAGATTTTCCTGCCCGGGCTGGCTTTGAACCGTGATATTCAGATCTCAGCCTCCTGAGTAGCTAGGATTAAGGCCTGAGCCACCAGCGCCCGGCTTAATCTCCCAATTTTATTTGCTCCTTTGGGAAATAGTTGACTGACTCCCTTTGTGGGTGTGGGTGTGGGTGTGGGGGGGGTGTGCATTTACACACCCACACATGTTCCTATGCTGGTATTGAGACTTGACCTCAAGACCTCACCCTTTCCTTGGCTTTTGTGCTCAAGGCTGTCTACCACTTGAGCCACACTTCTACTTCTAGCTTTTTGTTGGTTATTTTAAGATAAGAGTTTCCAGGACTCTCCTGGCTCTATCCTTAGATCTCAACCTCCTGAGTAAGATTACAAGAGTCAGCTGGGTTGGGGCTGAGAAGGTGGCTCAGTGGTAGAGTGCGTGCCTTGCAGGCATGAGGCCCTGGGTTCAATTCCTCAGCACCACATAAGCAGAAAAAGTCAGAAGTGGCACTATGGCTCAAGTGGTAGAGCAATAGCCCTGAGCTGAAGAGCTGGGGGACAGTGCCCAGGCCCAGAGTCCAGGCCCCACAACCAACCAAAAAAAAAAAAAAAAATCAGCTGGGAATATGGCTTAGTGGTAGAGTGCTTGCCTAGCATACATGAAGCCCTGGGTTTGATTCCTCAGTACCACATAAACAGAAAAAGCTGGAAGTGGCACTGTGGCTCAAGTGGTAGAGTGCTAGCCTTGAGCAAAAGAAGTTCAAGGACAGTGCCCAGGCCCTGATTTCAAGCTCCAGGACTAGCAAAAAAACAAAAACAAAAAAAAGCCACCTGCACCTAGTATATAAAAGTTTTTTTAACTGAACTCAGGACATTGCACTTGCTAGGCAATAGCTTTGCCACTGAGCTACATCCCAACCCTAAAATTTTTCATTTTGTATTTTGCACAAAAAAAATCTCAGATTTCAGCCTCCCTAAGTAGCTAAGATTGTAGATATGAGCCACTGACACCCAGATCCCAGAGTATTTTTTTCATCAAGTGGAGATTATTCAGCAGTAAGTCCCAGAAGTGTTCATCAGACAACATAGGAAGCAGTAGACAAATCCTGCAAAGACTGAGACCAAGGTACAATTACCTGCTTTATGGACAGGCCCAACAGCTGTCTGTACCACCTTCTCATGTTTGTCAGCTCCATACAAGTTCTTTTGAGCATGAGTGAATTATACAGTTGTATATTATCCACTTAGGAATGACTGTCATAGAATGCAAGATTCCTTCTGTAAAAACTGGCAAGCAATATCTAGTTTTTTAGGGTATGTTTAGATATGGTAAAACTACAAGACTGAGGATATTTGTTCCTTCTGAGTGGAAAGGAACGGCTGCTGCTGAGAAATGACATGCAGAGGGCTTCAGAAGAACTACGAAGGTCTGATTTCTTAGGCATAGGTGTGGAACATGTAGGCATTTGGGTTTGGGTGTTGTTGCTTTGGTCTTTTTCTTTTAAACAGCATGTGTACCTTTTTTTTTTTTTTTTTTTTGTCATGTGTACCTTTTTTTTTTTTGTCATGAGGCTTGAACTCAGGACTTGAGCCCTATCCTTGAGCTTTTTCACACAGGCTAGTGCTCTACCACTTGGAGCCACAATGCTACTTCCAGTTTTCTGGTAGTTAATTGGAGGTAAGAGTCTTGAGGACTTTCCTGCCTGGGCTGGCTTTGAAGCATGATCCTTACATCTCAGCCTCCTGAGTAGCTAGGGTTACAGGTGTGAGCTACTGGTACCTGGCTTTTGTGAACATTTTATGTTCTCTTGCTGACACAGAATGAAAATTACACATCTATTGCCTCAATTTCCCTAGAAGTGACAAATGTCCCCTCTCCACACAAGTTGTATTGGTAAAATACTTCCTTGTGGTCTGAAAAAGAAAAGGCCATATTCTTCTTTGACACCTGGTGTTGGAGCTAAGAATGTGACTTAGTGGCAGAGTGCTTAGCACTACATAAACAGAAAAAGCTAGAAGTGGTGTTGTGGCTCAAGTGTTAGAGTGCTAGCCTTGAGCAAAAGAAGCTCAGGGACAGTACCCAGGCCCTGAATACAAGCCCCGGGACTTGCAACCAAAAATAAAGAAAGAAAGCTATGCTGTAGCCCCTGCTGCTTCTTGGGCATTCATGGGAACCTTCCTTTTACTCTGGGTTTTCCATCTTACAGAATGGAATGGGAAGGACAGTAGTACCCACTAGGGTCCCTAAGGATGAGATAAGAAGCCAAAGAGATCTCTCCAGGAGTTGGCTATCCAGTCCCTGAAAAACCCTTGCAAAGGCATGTCCATTCAGACTATCTGTAATCAGATAGTCAAAAATCCAGAGTAGATATCAGAAATACTATGACTTCTGTGAATTTGAATCTCAGAGACCAGCACTGATTCTGGGCCACCTGATGAGTTATTTCATTTATCTCTTTGTGCTCTGAAGATAATGACAGAGATTGGTTCAGACCTTGGAGTAATGTGCAGGGAAAATCATGTTTTCCTTGTTGGAAGGACTAGAGGACTTCCCTCTGCTGACCTATACTGAGGGTCAGGCTCCATTCCTTTTTCCTGTATACAGAAAAACTACCCTCCATTTCCCCCATTCCTCTCTAATTCCCATTCATACTCACTAGGCCTCTCCTGTCCTAAAACCCCACCTACTCAAGAAGCCTTTAGAACTTCTTACCTCTCATGCAGAGGCAACCCTCCAGAGCTTTGGGACTACTTTCCTAGAACCACAACTCTAGTAGTCACTCCTTGTCCTTAGTGCCTATGCCTTAGAAATAAGATATTAGTGATAGTATTCTCAAGTTTGTGCCTCAGGCTCCAAGAACTGCCTTATATCTTGCCTTGTGTGAAAAGCTACAAAGCAGGAACAAAAATGATCCACCTTGGACCAGCTCCAGAGAACAGATTTATCTAGGGGTCTGATGGGTGTTCTGCATGGGCTCTATAGCCTAGCTAGCCTTAATGCTTCTCAGTTATCCATCTTTTCTATGTTACCTGCTTTGGGTATGTTTCCTAGTTGTCCTGAGACCCTAGTGATTTTTCTTGGTTCCTGAGTGAAGGACATGTTCTATTTAGGGATGAAACAGTTTCTTCAAAGAGAGGGAAAGAAGAATCTATGGACTTAGCAAAAGAGTGATACACTCAAAGTCTTTTTTAGCATATTTCTTTGGAAGATACCTGTAAAGGAGTATGAATTTTCTTCCTCCCTATCAAGTGACAGTTTATACATTTGTTTTTTAGTTCTTATGAAAGACTGTAACTATGGCTTTATTTCCCTCTGCAAGGATCTATGCAGAGCATGGTATTAGCATACAAATCATATAATGGAAGCTCAACTGATACAGTATCTAGTTACTACTTGGAATACCCCACCTACAAGGACACTGGACTTTGCCCCCAGGACTCAGCCCCTCAGCTCTGATCAGCTTTCTTTTCGTTCCAGGGAATATACATTTCTACTCTAATGGTCTTCTGTTTTCTCACCGTCATCATGGAAATATCATCATTTCCAAGGATCACATGAATTCCATTTCCTTCTATGATGGGGTAGGTGTTTTACCTGCCCATGACTTTGGTAGGTCTGAAAGATACTTACATTTCTGAGGGGAAAACCCTTCTTGTGTCTCCTGCACTGCCTTGAGACTGGATGACAAGAACCAGCAGGGTACTGAGGAAGGCAAGCATAGAGGTTGACAAAAAGCCTCTATATTCTTTTATTTATTTATTTATTTTGATGTCTATTCTGGGGCTTGAAGCATTGTCCCTGGGTTTTTGTGCTCAAGGCCAGCAATCTACCCCTTGAGCTACAGCTCCACTTCTGGCTTTTTTGGTCTCGTGGACTTTCTTGCCTCACTGACTTCAAACCCTAATCCTCAGATCTCAGCCTTCTGAGTCACTAGGATTACAGGTATGAGCCACTGGTGTCCAGCAAAACCTTTATATTCTTAAGACTCTTGGGAGCTTTGTCATACTCACTGTTCTGTAAACAGAACAGGGCTTAGTAGAAAGGGCTCTGGGTCAGAAAGGCCAGTAGCTCTCTATGACCAATTCACTCTTCTCAAAGAGGACTAGGAATTAACTTGAAAAGTCCTCCAAGTGGCCCTTCACAGATGACCTTTAGCCCAAGAACACAGGGCTTATGTACTTCAGTACTAGAAATGTACTTTATCCTATGCATTGATGGGACTCCACTTTCCCCTTAACTTTGGGAAAGAATTATGAATGGACCAAAATGGAGAGAAATGCCTAACTTTCCCTCTCAGGGCTTTAACTCTACCTCCCTCATACACTCAGGCTTAACCTCTGGCTCCATGAATGTACCACTGCAGAACAATCCTGCACTAACACTAGTTACAAGTCTGCACTAACACTCTTGGCTCTAGTGGGAAAAGAGTAGCTCTGAGTTTCTCTAGCCCATACTTAACAGCCAAGGCACAGCTCACCTCTCAAAAGTTTTCTCATATCCTTTTTCTTTTGGCAGTACTGGGATTTGAACTTAGGACTTTGGACTTGATGAGCAAGTACTCTACCACTTGAGCCACACCTCCAGTCCTTTTGTTTTAATTTTTTTTTAATTGTTATGAAGGCGGTATACAGAGAGGTTACAGTTATATGTCAGGAAAAGAGTGAATTTCTTTTTGGGAACTTTACCCTTTCCCTTGTACTCTCCCAGTTTTTTCCTCCCATCCCTACCCACAGTTCATTTTCAGTGTCTAATAAGTACCACTGCTGCATTTGTTTACCCTTTGTCCCTCCATTTCTGTGCTTCCTCTTACCCTCCCAAAGTCCTTTGGTTTTTCACATAGGGACTCATACTTTCACCTGGGCTAGCCTTAGTCACAAGCCTCCAATCTTTGTCTCCCAAGTAGCTGAGGCAATAGGTGTGAACCTCCACACCCAGCTTATTTTTTGAAATGGAGTCTCCCTGACTTTTTGTCCATTGCTGGCTTAGAACTGCAATCCTCCTGCATTCCACCTTTCAGGTAGCTGGGATTACAGATGTGATATTGTATCTAGAAACCTTAAGGATTCTATACAAAGCTGCCCAGCATTCAGGAGACTGAGGCAGGAGGATCTTGAGTTCAAGGCCAACCTGACTATATCTCCAACAACATAAATAAAATAGCTCTGAATTTACTGCTTATGTTTATTTGTTCTCTGTCTCTCTTTTACTTTCCCTTCCCTTTCTTTTCTCCTCTTCCCCTTCCTTTCCCTTCCCTTTTAAGCAGTAACTGAAATAGTATACCAAAAGCATAGACATCAAGAAACAATATTTAGGGGCTGGGAAGGTGGCTCAGTGGTAGAGCGCTTGCCTTGCATGCCTGAGGCCCTGGGTTCGATTCCTCAGCACCACATAAGCAAAAAGAAAAAAGCTGGAAGTGGCGCTGTGTCTTAAGTGGTAGAGCGCTAGCCTTGAGCTGAAGAGCTGAGGGACAGCGCCCAGGCCCAGAGTTCAGGCCCCATGAGCGGACCCCCCCCCAAAAAAAAAGAAACAATATTTATAAATTAAGTTTACCAAAATTAAGCCTCTCAGCGGCTGAGGAACATAGCTCAAGTCATAGAGCATCTGCTTAGCAGGCTAAGGTAATGAGTTCAAACCTCAGAAAGGGAGCAAGGTATAGGAGAGGGGGGAAGGAAGGGAAAAGAGGGAGGGGAAAAAGGAAATAAATAGGCTTCTGTGCTTTAAAGTACACTCCCATTAGTATGTAAACCAAAGAGAATGGAAGAAATATTTGCAAATTATATAATACAATAATATATAAAATAAGGGATTAATACCTTAGAAGGAATTTTGAGATGACATTTTCAGTTTGGTAAAAAGATACTTGTTCTGCCCATGTTTCCTGTAACAAAGTTGGAACATATGTCTATGATTGAACTTCAGTAATCTCAACATGAGGATAATCACAATGAAATTGTCATAACTAGTGTGTATTATGATACTAGTTGTAAATCAGCAAATGGCTTATCTTACTAATGATCTTCTTTTCTGTTTAGGATTCCATCAGTGTAGTGGCAGCCCTTTTCATAGACTTCAAGAGCTCATTACTTCTTCATCTCCCAGTTCAGTTCCATGGACCAAGCAGTTTTCTGATGATTGCCCTTTTCCCAAAATCAAAAATATATCAAGCATTTTACTCAGAGGTAATATCAATCATTCAGTAAAACATCTACTACCTTTTTTCTCATAGCAATTTAGATGGTAAACAATATCCTAGAGCTAACAGTGAGATGATTAGAGCAAGAGCAGAGAGGGCTAGTTGTGGGAGGCATTGATAATCCCCTGAGTTCTGGAATAGTATTCTTACCTATGAAAGTATGAGAGCCCAAAGAAACAGAGGGAGGGCTTTTTAAAGGCCTTTTAAGAAAGATCTAGCTGGGCACTGGTGCCTATAATCCTAGCTACTTAGGAGCCTGAGATCTGAGGATCATGCTTCAGAGGCAGCCCCAAGCAGAAAAGTCACAGTGAGTCTCTTTTCTCCAACTAACCACCAGAATACTAGAAGTGGCACTATGGCTCAAAGTGGTAGAGCCCTAGCCTTGAGCAAAAAGAGCTTAGGGACAGTGCCCAGGCCCTGAGTTTAAACCCCAGGACTGACATAAGAAAGAAGAAGGAGGGAGGGAGAGGAAATATCTACTTTGTTCTTGTAAGTCCTAATTTGATTTATTTCCCCTTTTAGCTACCCCATTATTCTCCATCCTGATGGGTCATGATCCCTGCCCTTGCAGATAGTCCCATCTGGCAGGCTGCCCATTAGATGCTCAACAGATTGAATAAGGGGCAAAGTATACTAAGAATTATGTGACTCCCTTAGAGTCCAAGCAGTAGCTAATACCAGACTGACAGGCAGCCACACAACTGGTGAGAAGACAGTGTGACTTCCCCCACTCCTCCAACAGATCTGCACAGTGTGAAGGAACTATAATAACTCATCCTAGCTGCAGAGTGGCTTCTCAGCCCAATCTGTGTCTTTCTTTTACTGCTGGCTGGGCCTTCTAACCTGCTTGTGTTTGCTCTTTCAATCTGGGAACCTAGATACCCTTTTATATTCTTATCAGCCATCCCTGTGCCTTTAGCCAAAAGGTAACTTGTACTACTGCTGTCTGGCCCTGACACGAGGAAGAGCTTGCCCTCCACTGCCAGAACAGTGTTACCTGACACTGTCCTCCAGACTTCCTGCCCTCTGGATGAGCAGTCCCTGTAGAGAGGAACCCAGAAAGACATTTCTAGCTCAACACACACACACACACACACACACACACACACACACACACACACACACACACACACACACACACACACACACACACACACACACACACACACACACACACACACACACACACACACACACACACACACACACACACACACACACACACACACACACACACACACACACACACACACACACACACACACACTGCTCTGGGCCTTATTTTTAAAGCAAACTTGTTTGTTACAATGGTTTCTGGATGAGCAGTCCCTGTAGAGAGGAACCCAGAAAGACATTTCTAGCTCAACACACACACACACACACACAAATTGCTTTGGGCCTTATTTTTAAAGCAAACTTGTTTGTTACAATGGTTTTTCTCTGCACTGGCAAGTCTAGATTTTCAACAACGATCAAATCCCCATGTGGGTTCCATATCCTGTTGTTGGGTTTAAAGTGTTCTTTGCTTAAATTCTGTTTTGTTTAGGTCTTCTCCCCCTGGCAACAGCAGGATAACTCAGGGCTTTCTTTAAAAGTGATCCAGGAAGATGGATTATCTGTGGAACAAAAGAGATTGTAAGTGGCTGCCTTCAGTGTTTGTGCTTCATTCCCTAAGCCTTGTGGGTGTGCTCTCTCTGCAGGGAGACTTACGTAACATAGGGGTCTTGGCTTCTGGAAGTCCTAGCAGTCATTTCAGTGCTGCCAATTTGCAGGTAGCCAGTGGCCTTGATACATAGATGGCAAGAGAGATGAAATCCACTCAATCCGAAACTGGAACTAGTGTCAAGCACCTTTAGACCAACCTTCCTATGTGGACATGCCAGTCATGTACTGATACCACATTTTGTTTTAGTCAGTGAAATGCTTGTTTCAGAAATATTGGTTCTGTCACGAAACTGTGGCTTTAAAGGCTCAGAACTAGTAGTATAAAATTCTTGTGGAGTGGGGAGGCAGAATTCTAATCTGTGAGCTTTTGATATTACAGGCACTCCAGTGCACAGAAGCTCTTCATTGCGCTGAACCATCCTGCTGGAGAGAAGTGGAGTTCTCAAAAGTTGCTCCCAGCAAAACTCCCAGAGCTGGACTGGTAAGCTCTGGATGTATGGTTTTCTTTCTTTCTTTTTTTTTTTTTTTTTGGGGGGGGGGGGTGTCCGGTTGTGGGCCTGAACTCTGGGCCTGGGCACTGTCCCTCAGCTCTTCAGTAAAAGGCTAGCACTCTACCACTTGAGCCACAGTGCCACTTCCGACTTTTTTTCTGCTTATGTGGTGCTGAGGAATCAAACCCAGGGCCTCATGCATGCAAGGCAAGCGCTCTACCACTGAGCCACCTTCCCAGCCCGGGGGGTATGGTTTTCGATGTTTATTGTTCCAACTTTTGAAATGTTAACAACCCCAGTGTTTGACCTTTCTAAGCTTTCTAACTTCTTTGAGATTCCTATAGAAGGTAGTAGTGATGTACCATAAACAATTTTACTTCTGGTGAGAATCTCTAAACCTCATTCTTCAACAAGTAAGAAGTTGCTAAGGCAAGACTGTGATGGTTTTTCTACTGTCTTGGTTTTTCCAGCTTTCTCCAGCATTTTGCTGTCAGCAGCATTAGTTGGGAACCTGTGATGCGGACCCATCTTCCAGTCCTGCTGCAGCAAGCTGAAGTCAGCCCTACTCACAGAGTAGAAAATGACAAGGTAGAAGAGTTTACCAAACGTGCTGGGAATTCACAGGAGGATAATCCTACAAGCCTGCCCTTAGATCTTTTATGTCAGTTAACAAAAGATGCTCAGACAGAGTCCTTTTTATAAGACTCCACCCCCTTGGATGCTGATGTAATGATACACGTGAAACTTGCTCTATACAATGAGTAGGTCAAGCCAAGCTCCATAATAGTGATAAACTCTGGCATCCTGCCATGCCCTCCCCTTGCCTCTTCAAGTCTTTTACACTCTTACTCTGTGTTCTCATGCTGTCAACTCTTCCTAGTTGTGACAAAGACTTACCTAGCAGTAGATAATACATTGTGTTTAATAAGGGGAAGGGTGCCCATTTACCATGTCCTGGCAGCAATCCCTAGGGTAAGGTGATATTATATAAACATTGTTCTCCCTAGAATGGATTTTAATCTGTTCCCTCCCCATGCTTTCCTCCCCTTGGCCTCCCTCCCATCATTCCTTTGGGAGCCATGTGTTGTAATAGACTCAGAGGAGGCATTTATTTCTGTGCAAATCTAGAAGACACAGCAGCAAAAGGAAATAGCAATGCTAAGCAATTAAAAGCATCATTTTCCCCTTAGGCAAGAGTATAGAAAGTTTAAAAATGCCTTTTTACTTAAAAAAAAAAGTGCTATAAGAGTCACCTCAGCCGGGTGCCAGTGGCTCATATCTGTAATCCTAGCTACTCAGGAGGCTGAGATATGAGGATCTTGGTTCAAAGCCAACCTGGGCAAAAAAGTCCATGAGACTTTTTTTTTTTTTGCCGGTCATGGGAACTGAACTCTGGGCCTGGTGCTGTCTGCAGATCAAGACTAGCGCTCTACCACTTGAGCCACAGTGCCACTTCCAGCTTTTTCTGCTTATGTGGTGCTGAGGAATTGAACCCAGGGCCTCATGCATGCAAGGCAAGCACTCGACCACTGAGCCACCTTCCTAGCCCCAGTCCATGAGACTTTTATCTCCACTTAACCACCAGAAAACCAGAAGTGGCACTGTGGCTCACGTGGTAGGGCACTACCCTTGAGCTGAAGAGCTGAGGGACAGTACCAATGCTCAGAGTTTAAGCCCCACAACTGACAAAAAAGAAAAAAAAGATTTACCTTAAAGTAAGCAATTATCTGTCTGAACACACATGCCGTGGTTTAAGGAGCTACAGCCTGGGTACAGAGTAATGGGAAGCAAGATAGAGAAAGGTGGATGGGAGGAACCCAAATAGTATGTCAGTTACAAGAAGGACTGTCCAGGGAACAGAAGGGGATGCAGTCCAGAGTTCCTGGTCAGAAGGGAGGAAGGAACATTGTGAGCTCTCACAAAACAAGAGGGCTTCACAGCTGTTTCTGCTGGTGTGATCAGCCTGAGTGATGAGTACCTCCACACCTAGCTATAGAGTGGTGTCTGGCCTGTATAATGAAGTAAATATATGCCCAGGGAAGTTTTTGCCATGTTTTGTTACTATTTTTTGTTTTGTTTTGTCTGTTATGGGGCTTGAACTCTGGGTCTGGGCACTGTCCCTCAGCTCTTCAGTTCAAGGGGAGCACTCTACCACTTGAGCCACAGTGCCACTTCTTGTTTTCTGGTGGTTAATTGGAGATAAGAGTCTCACGGACTTTCCTGCCCTGGCTGGCTTTGAACCACAATCCTCAGATCTCAGCCTCCTGAGTAGCTAGGATTACAGGTGTGAGCCACCAGCACTCGGGTCCCAGTTGTCCTTTCTGCCCAGTGCTTTACTAAGAAGTGTTACAGTAAATCAGTCAAAATATCCTTGAATCTCTACAAAAGAAGTGTCTGTGATCTCAAACCTATATGTTATTCAATTCATTGGACTTGAACTGATAAATTTGCAACATGCTCCACAGAAATTAGAGCTGCATTTTATATGGTGGTGGCTTTGTGCAGGCATTGTTGTAAACATTTTACATTAAACTCCGCTAATTCTCATACCCACCCTATAAAATCAGTTTATCATTGGCCCAAAATCAGAGAGCCTGGCTCCAGAAGACATTTCTCTTAACTTTTTTACATAGCGCTGCATCTCAGTTGAATTGCAAACCAATGACTTTTCTTTCATGTAGGTAATTATCAGCATTGTAACGGGTCTCCCAGGCTGTCATGCTAGTGAACTCTGTGCTTTTCTGGTCACTCTGCATAAGGAATATGGCAGGTTAGTATGAGTAATTCTTTTGCTTTGGGGAAAGGGACTGTATGCCTTGGCCTGCCTAGCTGCAGGGAGACTTTCCACATGTATGGCTGCTAGTTTGACTTTTATCTGCACAGTAGTTGTGCATCTATCCATTTATTTAACACATGCACTGAGAGCTTCCTGTATTCCAGGCACACTCTGAGTATGAGGGAAAACATCAGTGAACAAAATAGAGAAGAAAATCTGTTCTTTGGAGCTTACATTGTGGTTTGGAAGACAAATAACTACATAAGGAAGGCATAGTAGCCAGTAAAAAATGCTATGGAAGCTGGATGCAGTGGATCACACCTGTAATCCTAGCTGTTCAGGAGGCTAAGATCTGAGGGTCTTGGTTTGAAGCCAGTCTGGGCAGGAAAGTATATGAGACTCTTATGTTCAATTAACCACCAAAAAAGCCAGAAGTAGAGCTGTGGCTCAAGTGGTAGAACATTAGTTTTGAGCAAAAAGCTCAAGGACAGTGCTCAGGCCCTGAGTCCAACGTGCTCACACACATACAAATACAAAATGCTATGGAGAAAATAAAACAGAAGGTTCATGGAAGTACAGGCTAGGAGTGGAACTCCAATGTTTTGGTTTGGTTTTTGGGTTTTTTGGAACTGGAGCATGAACTCAGGGCCTTGTGTTCTTTCTTGCTCATCTTGTCTTCTTAAGGTTGTCATTCTACCACTTGAACCACAGTTCTCCTTCCAGCTTTTTGCTGGCAAATTGGAAATAAGAGTCACATGGATCTTTATACCCTGCCTACTTTGGATCCTTAGACCTCAGCCTCCTGTGTTGCTAGGATTTGGGGCATGAGCCACCAGTACCCAGCTGGAACTCAAAGTTTAAAATTGGGTAGTTAGGGAAGGCCTCACTGAGAAAATAACATTAAGGCAAAGACCTGAAGAAATAAGGGAATGAACCGTGTGATCTCAGGGAGAGCAGCAGGATGAGGAGGTACAAAGACTTTGGAAGTGTGCCTGGTCAGAGGGAAAGTCAGAGCCATGATGATTATAAAAAGTTGGGAGGTAATGAACCTTCCATGAACACAGAGTCTGTGTATGTGAGTCCATGCACAACTAGGACATGCTAGCTCAAGTAAAATTGGAAAAATAATTTACCCATCACTTCACTTGCTTGGCTGACAATTAATCAATCTTTGCTGACTGAGACAGGCATTTAATATACAGTCAGACTAATATGAAGGCATCCTGCAGGATTGTATGAAAGAACTGAAAAAAAATGAAATTACCTAGATAGAGCCAGGCGCTGGTGGCTCACGCCTGTAATCCTAGCAACTCAGGAGGCTGAGATCTGAGGATCATGGTTCAAAGCCAGCCTGGGCAGGAAAACCCGTGAGACTCTTTTTTTTAATATTTACACATTTATTTATTTATTTATTTATTTTTATTGTGAAAGTACTGTACAGAGGGGTTACAATTACATGGGCAAGATAATAAGTTCATTTCTCATCAAGCATTGTTGCCTCCTCCTTCCTGTCCCTTCCTATCCTCTCCCACCCCCCCTACCCGATTCTCTTCCCCCTCCACCAAAATTGTAAAGTTCGTTTTTCTGACATAATGACTTGTACATCTCATTGTTGCAATGGGTCCCTCTGTATCCCTATTTAAATGATTTGTTTTGTCCCTTCCCCTCCACAAATTATACCAACATCAAATACAGTAAAAGCAGGGGTGATACTGTGGGGGAAGGACATACAAAGCAACAAAGAAATCATCTTATAAATATGATAGAAGTATTCAAATGTTTTTTTCTTTCATGAGACTTATCTACAATTGACGACCAGGAAACCAGAAGCGGCACTGTGGCTCAAGTGGTAGAGCGCTCACCTTGAGGTGAAGAGCTCAGGGATAGCACCCAAGGCCAGAGTTCAGGCCCCACGACCAACAAAGAAGAAAAAATAAAAAATAAAAAAAAAAAAAGAAATTACCTAGATAGTTGGGAGTTTCGGGTGGAGGCTGTGGAGATCAGAAGGTGCATTTTGGAGAAATGTTAAGGTCACATTGGGTCCCAATTAACAAGCACTTAATGGCTCACCAGTTCCTCATGTCTAATTTTTTGTTTGTTTTTTTTGTTGTTGTTGTTGTTTTGTCAGTTGTGGGGCTTGAACTCTGGGCTTGGGTGCTGTCCTTCAGCTCAAGGTTAATAGTCTACCACTTGATCCACAGTGCCATTTCTAGTTTTCTGGTGGTTTATTGGAGATAAGAATCTCATGGACTTTCCTGCCCCAGCTGGCTTTGAACCATGATCCTCAGATCTCAGCCTCCTGAGTAGCTAGGATTACAGGCATGAGCCACCGATGCCTGGCATGTCTAATGTTTATATTGTATAAACATTATGATTGAGGCTTGAACTCAAGGCTTCATGTTTCTGCTTAGTTTTTTCACTCAAGGCTGGAGCTCTACCACTTGAGACATACCTACTTTAAACTCTATGCTAACTAATTAAAGATAAGACTCTTCAAACAGAGATTCTCAGATCTCAGCCTCCTAACTAGCTAGAATTATAGATGTTAGCAACTGGCATACTCCTAACATTACAAATTCTCTTACCTTGCCCATTTCTTTTTTTTTTTTTTTTTTTGGGTCCGGTCGTGGGGCCTGAACTCTGGGCCTGGGTGCTGTCCCTCAGCTCTTCAGCTCAAGGCTAGCGCTCTACCACTTGAGCCACAGCGCCACTTCCGGCTTTTCTCTTTTTGCTTATGTGGTGCTGAGGAATCGAACCCAGGGCCTCGAGCATGCAAGGCAAGCGCTCTACCACTGAGCCACCTTCCCAGCCCTTACCTTGCCCATTTCTTACTCTTAGCAAGAGTTTTATTGAATACCAGACTGAAGCCATTTTATTGCATAGTCCTTCAGGAAATCACTGCCTGGTCAAAAATCCTGAAGCATGGGCCTGGGAATGTGGCTTAATGATAGAGTGTTTGTATAACATGTATGAAGCCCTGAGTTTGAATCCTCAGGACCGCATAAACAGAAAAAACCAGAAGTGGCACTATGGCTCAAATGGAGTACTAGTCTTGAGCAAAAACAGCTCAGGAACAGTGTCCAGACCCTGAGTTCAAGTCCCAGAACTGGCCAAAAAAAAAATCTTGAAGCCTATTGGTTCTATGTGTTCCTGTCTTCCATATGGCAGGAGGTTTCTTGCCAAAAGCCCCGGTGATTGTGATTCCAGGATACTGGGCTCCCAACTACCTAGTGTTCTCTACCTTCTTCTTTGGTGCCAGGATTGATTTTTGCTCACAGAGTTTATGGGCAGAATGTCTTTGAGAGTACTAGGTACATTTGAATCCATGGCTAAGCCCTTAGGGCCAGGCCATCAAATGCCTCTGTACTAAGATCACCTTTGCTATTTCCAGGTGGATGGTATACCGCCAAATTATGGACAGCTCAGAATGTTTCCATGCTGCACACTTCCAGAAATACCTTTCTAGTGCCCTGGAAGCCCAGCAGAACCGCTCTGCCCGCCAGTCAGCCTACATTCAAAAGAAGACCAGGTTATTGGTAGTCTTACAAGGGTAAGTATTGGAAATCTAGGGGAAAGTGAGTAAGGGTGGTGACGGTACCATTACTGTGATCACAGAATAAACTCCCCATATACCTGAGCAGTGTCTGTGCTACACAGAGGAGTCTTAACCGAATAAGAATCCAGTTACACCGGGCGCCGGTGGCTCACATCTGTAATCCTAGCTACTTAGGAACTGAGATCTGAGGATTTCGGTTCAAAGTCATCCTGGGCAGGAACATCCGTGAGATTCTTATCTCCAATAAAACCACTAGAAAACCGGAAGTGGCACTGTGACTCAAGCGGTAGAGCACTCGCCTTGAGCTGAAGAATGCAGGGACAGTGTCCAAGCCCAGAGTTCAAACCCCATGAACAAAAACAAAAAAATGTGTGTGTGTGTGTGTGTCTGGGGGGGGGGGGGGGAGACGGAAAGGGATAGGAAGGGGAAACAGAGGAGGAGGCAACAATGCTTGATAAGAAATGTACTCATTGCTGGGCACCAGTGGCCCACACCTGTAATCCTAGCTACTCAGGAGGCTGAAATCTGAGGATCATGGTTCAAAGCCAGCCTGGGCAGGAAAGTCTGTGAGACCATATCTCCAATAGACCACTAGAAAACCAGAAGTGGCGCTGTGGCTCAAGTGGTAGAGCGCTCACCTTGAGCTGAAGAGCTGAGGGATAGCGCCCAGGCCCAGAGTTCAAGCCCCACAACCGACAAAAAAAGAAAAAAAAGAAATGTACTCATTATCTTACTCATGTAATTGTAACTCCTCTGTATGGTATTTTCATAATAATAATAAAAGAATCCAGTTACCATACTGTGGCCAAGGGATGGCCAGAGTATGGTAGTGGGTATAGTCCATATACAAATTACAAGTTTGACTTCAACATCATAATATCCTGAAGAGTTTGGGAATTGGGGAATTTGATCAAGATTTCTGACACTTGGGGCTGGGAAGGTGGCTCAGTGGTAGAGCACTTGCCTTGCATGCCCATGCATGAGGCCCTGGGTTTGATTCCTTAGCACCACATAAGCAGAAAAACAGGAAGTGGTGCTGTGGCTGATGTGGTAGAGCAGCTAGCCCTGAGCTGAATAGCTGAGGGACAGCACCCAGGCCCAGAGTTCAGGGACTGACAAAAAAAAAAAAAATTCTCTGACACTTGTTGGAATAATAATCTCTAAACTTCATCCTTCACTATCTAGATATGGGGATCTTATCTGTTTCTTTCTTCCTTTAAATGAAACTCTAGAGGTAGATTTCTCTCTCTGCAGTCTTGATTCTTATCCTGATTCTCAGGATGGCCAGTCCATTTGGGGTGGAAATACCACTTCTCGACCAGTATAGAGCTGTGAACACAGACTCTAGCTCCTCATGTCCCTGTGTAAGCAGCATGATGGTAGGTATACAACATGGGAGAGAAGATTTGCTAGAGCTTGTGTCACTGCTCCAGGAGACTCTAGATGAAAAAACATACTCTTGATCAGGCCTTCTAGAGAGGAATCTCTTGCCAGTTCAGGTTCATCGTCATCTGGGCCAAGATGGGAATGTGCAGGTCAGGAAATCCCAGGCTGTACTTTTCACTATTGTTATTATGGTTGGTAATAAAGAAGCTTTTGGTGCCTTTATGCTATTCTATGTTTTTTGTGTGTATTAATAATAATTAGTGAGTGCAGTAGGCTAGTTGTTTCCAGTAAAGAATGGGCCCAGATCCAAAACACTCTTTAGACTTCTGGCTGTGAAGGTGGCAGTTGGAGGCAGCTGGGATTGTGTTCCTGAGGAAAAAGATGGGTGGGACTGCACTCTTAAGACCTTCATGCATGGGCAGACTTTATGATCATACCCTATCTCCAGCCTCCCATAAAAGCCATCTTAGGCCACTGTGGGATCAGGTCACAGAAGCTACAAAGGAAGAACGTGGCCTTGAAACCACTCATTTTCTTCAGGTATTCTGTTGCTTCCGTTGGTCAAAAGAATGGGTCAGCCCAATTCCATCACTTCCTGCCTCTGCCAGAATTGACAGTCCGTAGAAGTTTGGGCCTGTGGGAAGGATCTAGCAGCTTTCCAATTTGCACTTGAGGTCGTTTCTGTTATTTCAGAGAATTATTTATTCTCTGTCCCTGGTTTCTTAAATCTCTGAAAGTGTCAGCTGTCCTAGCTGCTTCTGGTCTTCAGTGACTGTGTATGACTGACCACTCTTGGTAATGAGTACAGACTCCACCTTTTTCCAGGTTTCCTGAAAGATTCAAGTGAAAATATCACTTGAATATCACTACATGCTATAGCTCTTCACTAGGGCACTCTCTCCATAGGATGGGCCCATATTTTTGTTAGTTTCAAAAACTGAATGAATGGTTTTTTGGTGGTTTTTTTTTTTGTTTTTGTTTTGTGCTACTAGGGTTTGAAATCAAGGCATTGCACTTGCTAGCCAAGTGCTCTACCGTGCACACATGCAGGCATATGCACCAATATGTATATGCTTGAACTCAGGGCCTGGGCATTGCCTCTTAACTTTTTTGCTCAAGGCCACTTGAGCCACAGTCCCATCTCTAGATGTTTTTATGTTGATTTGGAGAAAGAATCTCTCTCACTCATGGACTTTCCTGCCCAGGCTGGATTTGAACCACAGTTCTCAAATATCAGCTTCAAATTCCCAGACCTAGCAATTGTCTTTCTGTTTACCCCTTCCACATAGGCTGGGATGATAAGTATGCACAGCATGGTTGAAGTGAGGTCTCGTGAACATTTGCCAGGGGCAAAATTTAAACTGCTATCCTGATCTCCACAACCTGAGTACCTGAGATTAAAGGTGTATGCTACCAAGCCCAGCTAATTAATGTATAATCTTAGAAACTGAATTGAAATTAGAGGCTGCCAGGGATTAAGATGGAAGTAGGCAGTAGAAAAGTAGATATGTGGGGCTGGGAAGGTGGCTCAGTGGTAGAGCGCTTGCCTTGCATACATGAGGCCGTGGGTTCAATTCCTCAGCACCACATAAGCAAAAAGAAAAAAGCCGGAAGTGGCGCTGTGGCTCAAGTGGTAGAGTGCTAGCCTTGAGCTGAAGAGCTAAGGGATAGCGCCCAGGTCCAGAGTTCAGGCCCGACAACCAGACCCCCCCCCAAAAAAAAGTAGGTAAGTAAATAACAAGGGATCCTTGTGGTATTGGAACTATTTAGCATATTGACTATGGTGGTGGATAATAGGAACCCACAAAGATCATAACTGTATAGATTTTAATATGCTCAGAGTATAAGTAAAATTTGATAGATATGAATTTGTAAAAAATTTTATGAAAATTGAAGGTTATATTTATGTAGTTGTAGTAGTTGTAGTCATTCTTTAAAATTACCTAAATAAAACAAATTTGCAATAGAGTAATGAGAAGAAAAGTCATAAAATTTAATGTGTATCTTACAAAATTAAGAAATTTGAGGGAAGGGGGGATGAGAGGAATGAGGGAGAATAATGAAAGGGGTGACACTGATCAAGATGTATTGTATTCATAAACTACTTTGGACTAGGAATGTGGCTTAGTGGCTTGCCTAGCATACATGAAGCCTTGGGTTCAATTCCTCAGTTCCACAAAATCAGAAAAAAAAATCAGAAGTGGCACAAGTAGTAGAGTGCTAACCTTGAGCAAAAGAAACTCAGGGACAGTACCCAGGCCCTGAGTTCAAGCCCAGGACTGGCAAAAAAATAAAAATAAATAAATAAGCTGGGCACTGGTGGCTCATGCCTGTAATCCTAGCTATTCAGGAGGCTGAGATCTGATGATCACGGTTCAGAGTCACCCCAGGCAGGAAAAGCTGTGAAACTCTATCTCCAATAAACTACCAGAAAACAGGAAGTGGCACTGTGGCTCAGGTGGTAGAGTGCTAGAGAGCTGAGGGACAGTGCCCAGGCCCAGAGTTCAGGCCCCACAATCAACAATAACAACAACAATAAAACATTTTTTGCTCTCAAGAAAATTAAATTAATGTAAAATATTTGCCTAACCAAATTGTAGGCTTAAATTTCAAACATAAAACAGAGCCCAGACCAGGTACTGGTAGTTCACATAGATAATCCTAGCTACTTGGGAGGCTGAGATCAGGAGGAACACAATTAAAGACCTATCTAGGCCTCAGTCATATCTCAACCAATAACTAGTCATAAGTGATGGTATTCCTGTTATTTCTAACTATGTGGGAGGGAGGCTGAGATCAAGAGGATTGCTGTTCCAGGCCAGCCTAGGCAAAAAAGGAAATAATAACCATAGGAAAATAACCATAGAAAAATAGGCTGAACGTGTGAATCAAACAATAGTGTGCCTGCCTAGCACACGCAAAGCCCTAAGTTCAAACCCCAGTATTACCAAAAAGCAAAATTAAAATTTAGAGGATACTTGGATAGAATTTCTCTAGATATTAGAGAAAGTTAAAGTTTTGCTAAGATTTTGTCGTGTTGTATTTTTTTTTTTTGCTTGGGTATTTTTGTGTATGTGCCAATACTGGGGTTTGACCTCAGGGTCTAAACACTGTCTCTTAACCTTTTTACTCAAGCCTAGAACTCTATCATATGAGCCATAGCTCTACTTCTGACTTTTTGATGGTTAATTGGAGATGAGAGTCACAGTCTTTTTTTTTTTTTGGGGGGGGGTCCGGTCATTTGGCTTGAACTCTGGGCCTGGGCGCTGTTCCTCAGCTCTTCAGCTCAAGGCGAGCACTCTACCACTTGAGCCACAGCGCCACTTCCGGCTTTTTGCTTATGTGGTGCTGAGGAATCGAACCCAGGGCCTCAGGCATGCAAGGCAAGCGCTCTACCACTGAGCCACCTTCCCAGCCCCGAGAGTCACAGTCTTTAGAACCAAGATCCTCAGTTCTCAGTCTCCTGAGTAGCTAGTGTTACAGACACGAGTCACTGACTCCTGGGGAGGACAGACAGGAAAGAAGACAACATAAAGAGCCAGAAGTGGCACTGTGGCTCAAGTGGTAAAGTGCTAGCCTTGAGCAAAAGCAGCTCAGGGACAGCACTCAGGCCCAGAGTTCAAGCCTCAGGACTGTCCCCCTCCCCTCCCAAAAAGAGCCAGTTTTTTGCTTTCACCATGCTGTTGGTTCACATTAGCCAAAGTGGTCTGGTATGCTCTGGCAGCTTGAGCACCAAATTGTCTTCTGCTTCCTTCTGTGGTAAGGGCCCTTCCTTCAGTTTGGAGGTCACACTCAGTTGTGTGGTAGCAAGGGGAGAAAAGGCAATTCTAGCAAGAACTACTCATTCTCTTAGTGAGTAGAGTAAACAGTTATGTGCTTTTTGTTTTGGAGCAGTGCTCAGATACACAGGACTAATCAAGGAGCCTGGAGACAGTTTTTCATTCTTTATCTTTCCACTAAAATTAATGAAGGTTAATGGAATCCTCTTAAAAAATTAGAATTCCCCCACTCACCTTCTGTAAGGGAAATCCTATTAAAGTGACTGAAACCCATGAGATACTGAACTTGGAAAAGATAAAGCCCTGAGCACTTATTTTTAGAAGTGATAAATAGTTAATGCTGAAGAGTAAGATAGAGGGCACTTATCTATTGAACATTCCCACAAAGAGCTTTGGGGCAGTATGTAGCATCAGTCCTGCTTACCAAGCCTACTGTTACAAGGGTCTGGTAGTGTCTATACATGGCATCCAGGACCACACAAGCACTACAGTAGAAAGATCCTTATGCGGGGCTGGGAAGGTGGCTCAATGGTAGAGTGCTTGCCTTGCATACCTGAGGCCCTGGGTTCAATTCCTCAGCACCACATAAGCAAAAAAAGCTGGAAGTGGTGCTGTGGCTCAAGTGGTAGAGCACTAGCCTTGAGCTGCAGAACTGAGGGAGAGTGCCCAGGCCCAGAGTTCAGGCACCATGACTGGCAAAAAAAAGAAAAAAAAAAGATCCTTATGTGGACACACACACACACATGCACACACACACGCACGCATGCACGCAAAGGGAGAAGCTAATGAGCAGAAAGCTTGCTGTGGAAGCCAGGCCCTCGTGAGGAAACTCTAGGACTTAGTACACCATGTCCTATACTAAAGCCCTGCTGGTTGGGCAGGATTCTGTCTAGGACTAGATAGAGAGTACAGGATATTGATATCTGGGATAAAGCTAAGGGCCATTTTACAGAGTTCAGGCCCCACAACCCCCCCGCCAAAAAAAAAGACAGGCACTGGTGGCTCACGCCACCTTGACCTCCAGAGCCCATCTGATATGAAAGCCTGCTCATCAGATTTGACTTCATAGGAACAGAACTTCTAGTGATGGTCCAGGTTAATTAGGACAATGTTTTCCTCTGTAAGGTCCCAGGGTTCTTGGAGTGGCCCAGGGTTGGCTTCAGAGCACTCAATAACCACCTTAAGTTTGTTTTTTGTGAGGGTGTTTTGTTTTGTCGTTGATCATGAGGTTTGAACTCAGAGCCTAGGTGCTGTCCCTGGGCTCTTTTTTTTTTTTTTTTTTGTCGGTCGTGGGGCTTGAACTCTGGGCCTGGGCGCTGTCCCTCAGCTTTTCAGCTCAAGGCGAGCGCTCTACCACTTGAGCTACAGCGCCACTTCTGGTTTTATTTCTGGTGGCTTATTGGAGATAGGAGTCTCACGGTCTCTCCTGCCCAGGCTGGCTTTGAACTGCGATCCTCAGATCTCAGCCTCCTGAGTAGCTAGGATTACAGGCGTGAGCCACCAGCGCCCGGCTCCCTGGGCTCTTTTGATCATGGCTAGCACTGTCACTTTGAGTGATAGGTCCACTTCTAGGTTTTAGTGGCTAATTGGATGTAAGAGTCTTACAGACTTTCCTGCCTAGACTGGCTTTGAATAGCGATCCTCAGACAGATCTCAGGCTCCTGAGCAGCTAGACTTACAGGTGTGAGCCACTAGTGCCCAGCTCCCACTTTATGTTCTTGTTGTAGAGCCAGTAAACAAATAAATAAGAAAGGATAACAGATGAAAACAAAAGCAACAAAAATATACAAGAACAAAATAAAAAGTATATGTAGCTTATGATCAGTGCTTTGAAGAAAAATTGAGGGAAGGGAGCAGGAAGTGCCAAGAAAGTGACTTCTTGCAGAGTAAGTATGAAGTCAGATGATGCCTTCTCATAAGATGTATCTCAGTGGTAGAAATAGAGCATGTTCAAGGACCTCAGTTTGATCCCTAGCTCTGCAAAAATAAACAACAATAAAATGCCACTTGAGCAGAGAGATGAGAGAAAGGGAGTAAGACTTGCAAATAGGAAAAGAGCATTCCAGGCAGAAAGGACAGAGAGTACAAAGGTACAAGTATGTCTGGCATGTTCAGGGATGAGCCAGGAGGCCAAAGTGGTTGGATTAGGGGAAGGGACAAGATGGTTGATGAAATTCTTGCCTATATTGGAGGAGCAGGAGATCAGATCATAAAGGCTATCTGGCCCTTAGTGTTTCAGCTTTCACACAGATGAAAAGCCACTAGAGGTTTGGCGCAGAACAATGACAGGGTCTGACTATGGTTTGGGCATATCCGTCTGACTTGTGTATTTAGAATAAATTGGAGGAAGGTAAGGATAGAAATATGAAGGAGGGGGCTGGGAAGGTGGCTCAGTGGTAGAGCGCTTGCCTTGCATGCATAAATCCCTGGGTTTGATTCCTCAGCACCACATAAGCAGAAAAAAAAAAGCCAAAAGTGGTGCTGTGGCTTAAGTGGTAGAGTGCTAGACTTGAGCTGAACAACTGAGAGATAGCACCCAGGCCCAGAGTTCAGGCCCCACAACTGGACCCCCCCCCCAAAAAAAAAAAAAAAAAAAAGAAATATGAAGGAAGGCTGGGAAGGTATCTCAGTAGTTCAGTGCTTGGCTTGCATGCATGAGGCCCTGGGTTCAATTCCTCAGCACCACATAAGCAGAAAAAGCCAGAAGTGGTGTTGTGGCTCAAGTGGTAGAGCGCTAGCCTTGGGCTGAAGAGGTGAAGGACAGCGTCCAGGCCCAGAGTTCAGGCCCCACAACTGACCAAAAAAATAATAATAAAGAAATATGAGGTATCAGATGGGAGGCTATCAGGATGGTTTAAGTAAGAGATTGTAGCAGTTTAGACTCAGTGGGAATATGAAAGTGAGACCTCTTTTAGATATATGCTGGAAGCTAAGATAAATCTTCTGGCCTAAGGCTGGGAAGGTAGCTCAGTGGTAGAGTGCTTGCCTTGCATGCATTAGGCGTGGGTTCGATTCCTCAGCACCACATAAGCAAAAAAGAAAAAAAATGGAAGTGGCGCTGTGGCTCAAGTGGTAGAGCGCTAGCCTTGAGGTGAAGAGCTGAGGGACAGCGCCCAGGCCCAGAGTTCAGGCCCCACGACTGGACCAAAAAAAAAAAAAAAATCTTCTGGCCTTGCATCTGAAATAGAATCCCCTCTGATAAGAACGACAGGAGGAGCAGGCTAATGAGAGTTGATCACAAATTTATTAACTTCCAAGGGAAGATAACAAATTGGCTTTAAGTCTGGAGTTAGAGAGGTTTTCAAGGCAAAAGATGAGAATTTGAATGGATACAGCATGTGTCTGCTGACCTAGGCAGGTTTGATGGTCCTGTGATATGGGAAGAAGAGGAAAGAGTTACAAAAAAAAAATGTGGGGGGGGGGGTGGGGAGGCTGGGGGGGTGGGGAGGCTGGGAAGGTGGCTCAGTGGTAGAGTGCTTGCCTTGCATGCATAAGGCTGTGAGTTCAATTCCCCAGCACCACATAAGCAGAAAATGCTGGAATTAGCACTGTGGCTCAAGGGGTAGAGTACTAGCCTTGAAATAAAGAGCTGAGAGACAGCGTCCAGGCCCAGAGTTCAGGCCCCACAACAACAACAACAAAAAAGCACTGGTGGCCCAGAGTTCAGGCCCCACAACAACAACAACAAAAAAGCACTGGTGGCTCACGCCTATAATCTTAACTGTTCAGGAGGCTGAGATCTGAGGATCATGGTTCAAAGCTAACCCAGGCAGGAAGGTCCGTGAGACTCATATCCAATTAACCACTGGAAAACTGGAAGTAGGCTGTGGCTCAAGTGGTAGAGTCTTAAGCTGAAGAAGAGTTCAGGGACAGTGCCCAGGCCCAGAGTTCAAGCCCCATGATTGACAAAAAAAAAAAAAAAAGTAGACACTGCCATGAGCTCCCAACTTAATGATTAGATAACATGCCCAAGGATACTTGAGTTCTGGGCTTATAGCATACTTCCTTTTTTCTGCAGAGCTGTGTGCCTTTCCTACCCATTCTCTTGCACAGTTATAAGGACTAACAGAATTAGGAATATAGAAACACTTTGTAGATTCCAGGGGCTCTAAATTGTGCTGGTAAGCTAATCATTCCTTTTTATCCTGTCAGCTACACAGATGTTATTGATGTTGTCCAGGCTGTGCAGACACATCCAGACCCAAATGTCAAGTCTCTCTTCACTATTGGTGCCATCACGGTGTGTGTGGAGCCCCTGAGCTGCTACATGGAACACAGGTAGTTATTTTTCGCCACCTCCAGCTCACATAATGTGGTGTGTTTAAATGTGCTAGAAGTGACTGTTTCCCTAATCACTACAATAAGAACATCACTGTACATGCAGTAGTTTATTAGTCTACATTGTATGTAGTAAGTGCTACATTATTATTGTGTGTGTATATGTATGTGTGTGCTTGGGCAAATGCAAGTATACTGGTCCTGAGGCTGGTACTCAGGGCTTGGAAACTGTCTCTGAGCTTTTTTGCTCAAGGCTAGCATTCTGTCACTTGAGCCACATCTTTCCACTTCCAGCTTTTGGGTAGTTAATTGGAGATAAGAGTCTCACAGACATTCCTGACTGGTCTGACTTCAAACCATGATCCTCAGAACCCAGCCTCTTGGGGCTGGAAAGGTGGCGCAGTGGTAGAGTGCTTGCCTTGCATGCATGAGGCCCTGGGTTGAATTACTCAGCACCACATAAGCAGAAAAAGCCAGAAGTGGTGTTATGGCTCAAGTGGTAGAGCACTAGCCTTGAGCTGAAGAGCTGAGGGACAGTATCCAGGCCTAGGGTTCAGGCCCCATGGCCAACAACAACAACAAAAAAAAAACTCAGCCTCTTAAGTAGCTAGGATTACGGGTATGAGCCACCAGTGCCTGGCTTAAGTACTAGATCTTTAAATGACCCAGAGCCAAAGAGAAATGAGAGGAATTGTAGAATACATACAGATGTGTGAAGACAGGAATTATGTCCTTTTTTTTTTTTGTCCATCATGAGGCTTGAACTCTGGGTTTGGGCACTGTCCCTGCGCTCTTCAGCTCAAGGCGAGCACTCTACCGCTTGAGCCACAGCGCCACTTCCAGTTTTCTAGTGGCTTTATTGTAGGACTCATCTCCAATTAATCACAGGAAAAAGCTGGAATTGGCTCTGTGGCTCCCTTCATGACAGCCCTCGTTGCAAGGTGCTTAGCTACACTGTTCATCTCTTAAATATCCATGGCATAGGGAGGATGGGATGACAGAAAGATCTTATCTTTGAATTGCTTGTCTGTTGCTTTGATAAAAGTTAATTATGCTGGGGCTGGGAAGGTGGCTCAGTGGTAGAGTGCTTGCCTTGCATGCATGAGGCCCTGGGTTTGATTCCTCAGCACCACATAAGAAAAAAAAAGCTGGAAGTGGCACTGTGACTCAAGTGGTAGAGCGCTAGCCTTGAGCTGAAGAGCTGAGGGACAGTGCCCAGGCCCAGAGTTCAGGCCCCACTACTGGACCACCCCCCCAAAAAAAAAAAGTTAATTACTGCTGTGTGCTAGTAGCTCACATCTGTAATCCTAGCTACTCAACAGGCTGAAAGCTAAGGCTTATTAATTCAAAGCCGTTCTGGGCAGGAAAGTCCATGAGACTCTAATCACCAATTAAAAACCAAAAAAAAAAAGGGCTGGAAGTGGAGCACCCTAAGCAAAGAGCTCAGAGATAGCACCCATACCCTAAGTTCACGCCCCCAGACACACATACACACAAACACAGAGAGAGAGAGAGAGAGAGGTAACTATTCTTCTCTGGGAAGGACTTTATGATGTTTTGGGAGTTTCTATCTCAAAGCAGTGCTATATAGCAATTTGCTGCCATTTGTATTGAGCAGAAGAAATCACCATTGTGTATATACTCAAGTCTTTTTATTTTTCTTCTTTTCAAAGATGCTCTTGGACATTATTGGGCTTGCAGAGTTCCTTTATTCTGGGGTTACAATGCTTTTTATCGTTTCAGGCTTCATTTTAGCTTCAGCAAAAGTTGTTAAATCATGATTTTGCAGAAACCTTTGTTTTGGACAGTTTCCTTTTTTTTTTGGATTTGGGATAGATTACATAGTAGTATGAAGTATGCTGTAAATGAAAATACAAGCTAGTGCTTTGTCTTAGCAGTTTTAAGAAATTAAAGCAAACAAATTTAAGTTTTCTTGTATTGAAAATAACATATGATTGTATGTTTTGCATTCCTAGAAGTAGGTTAACTGTGTTTTTTAAATTGTTATAACTTCACACCTTTTTGAAATCTGCCCTACAAAATTTGTTTGGCTTAAACGTCAAAGCCGTGACAATTTGTTCTTTGATGTGATTGTATTTCCAATTTCTTGTTCATGTAAGATTTCAATAAAACTCAAAAATCTATTCAAAACAAAACAAAAAAAAGGCAGTGCAATTTGAATCATCATCCTCTACCCTATTTTGAACTTTCATTTACCATTGGATTTGTGAATAAGATTAAGCTAGGGGTGTAACTCAGTGATAACATTTATCTAGCATGTGAGGTCTTGAGTTCAATCCCAAGTATAGCAAAAAATTAAAATTAAAAAATAGTCATCTCTATCTCCTATCACCTGAAGAACTAGTACTGCTCCCAACATCTTCTCCATCACATTTCATCAAGGGTGGGCCATGTGAGGACTTCTGCAGGGTGAGAACTTTGGTGCAAAACTGTGAAAGTCTTAGCCAGGCACAGTTGCTCACGCCTGTCATCCTAACTACTCAGGAGGCTGAGATCTGAGGATCATGGTTCAAAACCAGCCCAGGCAGGATAGACTGTGAGACTCTTATCTCCAGTAAACCACTAGAAAACCGGAAGTGGCACTGTGGCTCAAGCAGTAGAGCTTTGGCCTTGAGCTGAAGAGCTAAGGGACAGTGCCCAAGCTCAGAGTTCAAGCCCCATGACTGGAAAACAAAACAAAACATAAAAACTATGAAAGTTGGGCTGGGAAGGTGGCTCAGTGGTAGAGCACTTGCCTTACATGCATGAGGCCCTGTGTTCGATTCCTTAGCACCACATAAGCGAAAAAAGCCGGAAGTGGCGCTGTGGCTCAAGTGGTAGAGCGTGCTAGCCTTGAGCTGAAGAGCTGAGGACAGCGCCCAGGCCCAGAGTTCAGGCCCCACAACTGGACCCAAAAAAAAAAAAAAACTGAAAATCTTGAATAACTATGACTGTCTAGTGCGCAGTACTACCTGCCTCTTGCCTCATCAAATATGTCAACCTTGCATATCAGCAATATTTCAATTTTGAGGGAAATAATCAAGATGCTAATGATTTTTTTAATATTTCTTTTTCCCTAGATTTCTCTTCCCTAAATTTCTTGATCAGTGCTCACAAGGTAAGCAATATGCTTTACTTCCTGCTTACATGCCTTTCACATTCTGTTCAGATACAAGAGATTTCTGTCTGTGCTACCACTCTGAAATCTAAAGCAGGGAACTTTGACAACCTTCTTTTATCATACTTGATAAACATATTTCTTCCAAGAGCTTATATTGTAATTATCTTTATTATTATTACATAGTTGTACAAAGAGGTTACAATTCCGTATGTCAAGTTATAGGTACAATAAATCTTGATCAGTGCCACCCCTTCCACTATTCCCTCCCACTGTACCCACCTCCCATCCCTCCCCTCAAGTTTCTGTTAATGGCAGTAAAAAAATCACAGCAACATCACTTGTGGGCTCACGTCTGCTCTGGCCGTGTAGCTAAAGACTGGGCTGAGTAGTCTCTGGATAAACAAAATCTTAATGAATTTCTCTATCCCCAGGGCACAGTTTTTGGCAGAACCTATCTTCCTTAATATCACCCTTTCTTTCACACAATGTAATTTTCCATACCTCTTTGAATGTATTTAGAAAAATCTACTCATCCTGCAGGTTATATTCAGCTTTTCATTGTCCTGCTGCTATCAACTATAGAAGCTGTACTTCCTAGTCTATATTATCTGTGACACCTAGAGAGTGTGAATAAATTATAACTTCTCCACAGTAGTGATAAAATGCCCATTGTTGTCATGAGGTATGCTTGGGGATGGACTGCCTGAGCCAGCCTAGCAAGCAGAAATCTAATGGAAGAAAACAACTCAATGTCCCCAGCACATCTGTGCCTTGCTGATCCCATTGCCAGTCTGCAGGGAGCAGAGACAACAGCATACCAGAGCTGTTGTCTTGGGAAACAGCTGATCTGGGTGCTGCCCAAGGCAGGAGACTGGTCCCTGAGGGGGGAAGGGGTATGTGTTTGTTGGACTGCTATACCAGGTAGTTGTTTTTTGAGGCCCTCAGTATCAGGGTAGAATAGAAGCTGTCCTCTCAGTGTGTAACCCAGAGGGAAGTTAGGTATGAGTTGGAAAAGAGATATCCAGGTTGACTCTGCTTTGTTTTTTTTTAACCTTTGTGTGAACAAGTGTGTGTGTGTGTGTGTGTGTGTGTGTCCGTGTGTCCTGGTGTCCTGGTGTCCTTGGGATTGAACTCAGTTGGAGTTTGGGTGCTTTCACTGAGCTTTTCTAGCTCAAGGCTAGCACTCTTACCAGTTGAAACACAGTTCCATTTTTGGTTTTTGGTGTTTAATTGGAGATAAGACTCTCACAGACTTCCCTGCCCCAGCTGGCTTCAAACCCCTCTTGTCAGATCTCAGCCTTCTAAGTAGCTAGGATTACAGGTTGAGCTACTGATGCAAAAATCCCTAGGTTTTTATTTTAGGGGACTAAAAAGGGTAGTGGTACCTGTCCTTGAGATAGAAAACACCAAAATACATGTATAGATAATCAAGGAGGGTTATCTGACCCTAAGTTACATATTTGGATGTTTTAGTCAAAGCCAAGGGCATGGAGGGGCTGGGAAGGTGGCTCAGTGGTAGAGCGCTTGCCTTGAATGCATGAGGCCCTGGTTTCGATTCCCCAGCACCACATAAGCAAAAAGAAAAAAAGCCAGAAGTGGCACTGTGGCTCAAGTGGTAGAGTGCTAGCCTTGAGCTGAAGAGCTGAGGGACAGCGCCCAGGCCCAGAGTTCAGGCCCCACGACCGGACCAAAAAAAAAAAAAAAAGCCAAGGGCATGGAGTATAGTCAGCCAATACCGGGCATGGATCTAAAAAGTAAGAAAGCCAGAGTATGGAGGGAAATGAAAAGTCTAGGAAACTGAAAGTCAAAGCAGGACAGAACAATGTTTCAGACATTAGAGAAGGAATAAAATCATTGGTGTGTAATGTTACAGAGCCCTTAAGAGAAGGACAGAAAAAGCCTGTTGACTTTGCAAGTAACCTCAGCAAGAGTGCCTGAGTGGACTGATGAGGGCTGAAGCCAAGTCCAAGTGGACTAACAGTCAGTGAACTCCTGGAAGCCAGCAAATGTAAATGATACATTAAGGTATATGGAGCTGTTAAAAGGATTGACAGGGAGAGGAGAGTGCTTTCAAGAAGTTTTATTTCTAAGCCCGACAACCTAGATACTTGAGAGGCAGAGATCAGAATGATAGTGGTTTCAGGCCAGCCCAGGCAGAAAAGGTTTTTTTTGTTTTATTTTGGTTGGTCATGGGGCTTGAACTCTGGGCTTGGGCCCTCCCTGCACTCTTCAGCTCAAGGCGAGTGCTCTACTGCTTGAGCCACAGTGCCACTTCCAGTTTTCTAGTGGTTCATTGGAGATAAGAGTCTCATGGACTTTCCTGCCCGGGCTGGCTTTGAACCATGATCCTCAGATCTCAGCCTCCTGAGTAGTTATGATTACAGGTGTGAGCCACTGGCACCCAGCTACAGAAAAGTTTTTGAGACCTCATTTCAACAGAGAAGGCTAGACATCTTGGTGCATATACCTGTCATCGTAGATACACTAGAAAGTATAAATAGAAAGATTGCAGTCCAAGCTAACATGAGCAGCAAAGGAGACCATATCTCAAAAAATAATCAGAGGGCTGGGAATGTGGCTTAGTTGGTAGAGTGCTTGCTTGCTTAGCATGCGTGAAGTCCTGGGTTCAATTCCTCAGTACCACATAAACAGAAAAGGCTGGAAGTGGTATTGTGGCTCAAGTGGTAAAGTGCTAGCTAGGCTTGAGCCAAAGAAGCTCAGGGACAGTGCCCAGGCCCTGAGTTCAGGTCCCAGGACTGGCAATACTATCATCATCATCATCATCAGAGCTTTTTGGGCACCGGTGGCTCATGCCTATAATCCTAGCTACACAGGAGGCTGAGATCTGAGAATCATGGTATGAAGCCGGCTTAGGCAAAAAAGTCTGTGAGACTCTTATCTCCAATAAACTACTCACAAAAAGCTGGAGTGGCACTGTGGCTCAAGTAGTAGCCACTAGCCTTGAGCCAAAGAAGCTCAGGGACAGCACCCAGACCCAGAGTTCAAGGCCCTCCCCCAAAAAAATCAGAGTTGCCAGACACTAGTGGCTCATAACTATAATCCAAGCTACTCAGGAGGCTGATATCTGAGGATCGTGGTTTTAATTCAGATTGAGCAGAAAAGTCCATGAAAGTCTTACCTCCAACCAAAAAGCCAGAAGTGGAGCTGTGGCTCAACTAGTAGGGTGCTATCATTGAATACAAAAGCTCAGGGACAGTACCCAGGACACACACACACATACACACACACACAAATAAAACAGAGGCAAAGGTGATGGAGTGCCTGCCTAATGAATTTGAATCCCTGAGTTCAAACCCCAGTTCTACCCCCACCCAAAAAAAAAAAAAGATTTGCTATTTCTAGAAGAATGTGAGTAGTTATCCCTGAAGTCCCAGAAGTATTGCTGTTTGAGGCCAGTCTAGGTAAAAATTTGCAAGTCTCCATCACAATCAATAAAGCAAGGCTTGGTGGCATGTTTCTAGCTACATGAGAGGCATAAATAGGAAATTTGCAGATCAGGCCAGCCTGGGAAAATATGCATGATCCTATTAAATATATAAAGCAAAAATGGCTATGCATGTGACACAAGTAGTAGAGTGCTTGTTTAGCAAGCACTGTAATAATGGGTTCATAATAGGCTCAAACCTCATTATAACAAAATAAGGTAAGGTATGGTGGGGTATGCCTGCAATCCCAGCACTGGGGTCCTGACAGGGGAAGAGGGCCCGGGGGAAAGGATCAAGAGTTTGAGGCCAGCTGGAGCTACATAGTCTTATCTGAAAAACAAACCCCCCAAAAGTAATTATTATTAGTGAATTAATTACTCTTCCCTTGTTGCTAAAGAGAAAACCTGTGAGCTAGAGGAAGATATTAGACTTAATAGAAGGAGTCTATGGGGGTCCATATCAAGCTTAGAAATGAAAGTTGACCCAAAGTGTCCTCCAGGGAAGTAGAGAAATGTTTTTCTGGTTGATGGTTCTGACTACTAGTTGTGTTAAGACTTGTTGACCTGTCCTAGGCCCTGTCATGTAAATGTTGGAGCTGCCTTCTTGGCACTTTCCTCCTTAGTGCCTCTCTACTTTTTTCATGATGGACAAACACAAATGACCAGGTGCGGGAATCTTGGGGATCTTGATGATCTTTTGTCATCATTGTCCATCAGCTGAGAATAGCCTTGGGCCTGCATCCCAAAAGTAAAGCCCCTTTTAGTCTGAAGCCTTCTAGGCCAAGTCAGACTGAGTTCCCTCTGATACTTGCAAGATATATTTCATTAGTGCTACCTGTTCAAAGGCAATGTATCCAAGTCCATACTTACATATAGTTAGGGTTAAGGACAAATGACCTTGAGGCTATATTGATCATGAAGTGACAGTGCCTTGATAAACATCTTCCTTTTGCGTCTGGACACACAGGACTCTGTGGCTTGGCCTCACTTGAGACTTACCATGGGCATGGGCAGTATGGAGGAGATAAAGGCCTCACTTAGAAGTAGAATATATAACCAGTGGACAAACACCTCGTACCCCAGGAAGTATATCTCCCTTTGCTTCTGTTCATAAGTCAGGCTACTTGATTCATTGCTTTTAATAACAGAGGATTATTTTATAATGAAAAAAGGACTATGTAATATCCTCAGGATGCTTTGCTGATAGAAATCCAAAAACTAGGAAGCAATCTTGCTGCTTAAACTGCAAACTAGACAATGCTAGCTTAAAAGCAAAGTGGAGGGCTGGGAAGATGGCTCAGTGGTAGAGCGCTTGCCTCGCATACATGAGGCCCTGGGTTCAATTCCTCAGCACCACATAAACAGAAAAAGCTGGAAGTGGTGCTGTGGCTCAAGTGGTAGAGTGCTAGCCTTGAGCTGAAGAGTTGAGGGACAGTGCCCAGGCCCACAGTTCAAGCCCAATAACTGACAAAAAAAAAAAAAAAGCAAAGTGGAGATATTTTGTTGTTATGGCCTCCTTTTTACAAGTGTCTGTAGATAAAAGAAATGAGTT